ATAAATCATCCTATCGGTTGCATTGAACCTGTCTGTGTAGTATCTTTCTGCCTACTTATCCAGCCACCCATCTCTTATCTAATTACCCTTTTCACCTACCATCCATCCATCTCTTTCTCTCTTTCTCATAATTTGGAAGGTGGGAATAGGATGTGACTTAATAGAGCAGAATAAGCTTTTTGGAGGAGAAGCGAAACGTCTTCAAAGTCCAGATACTGCCTCTTTTAAAAGCACCTTTGGGACAACCGTGAGCCTGGATGACGGAGGATCTCCACAGACTTTAATAGTGGATTTTCCTTGTTTGGGCTGCCATGGCCTCCCCCCCCCCCTTTAACTGTCTCCTTGGAAAAAGGAGAAATAAAACAACTCCTAAAGTCTCATTTTTTTTCAGCTCAATTCAGGGTGGCACAAACCATATTGCTTCCTTTTCCTGCCCTGCTCCGTTTTCCTTTGTGCATTCTGTCTTCTATGGCAGGGGTCCTCAACAGTGGCAACTTTAAGACTCGTGGACTTCAACTCCCAGAATTCCTCAGCCAGCCATGCTGGCTGAGGAATTCTGGGAGTTGAAGTCCACGAGTCTTAAAGTTGCCAAGGTTGAGGACCCCTGTTCTAGGGGCTCCATAGAGGCCAGTAGGGAAACCTCCTACTACAGGGATCCATGCCTTTGTAAGAAAACAAGACCATACAAAACAAGCACACCCTCTGCTCGTACACTAGTTGTATCTTTATTGTTTTCCACCTTGCTCACTAACAGTTCAGTGGTGCAGTTACCGGACACAAGAGTTAGATTAAAGAGTATCTGCATTGCACACCTAAAGGCTATACAGCAAAATGGTTCCAAATTAGTACAAATACATGAAGTCTATTTACAGTTTGTATACCCAAGCTCCGAAACATCAGTTATATTTACAAAATAAAACATGGGTTGCCGAGGGACGGAGGGCGGGGTTGGGGGGCTGAAGGAATCGAAGGAGCAGAAATTAATCGTCCAGGTTAATTCAAGTGTTTTGAATGGATTCCTTCCACCGGGATGAGATCGGTTCCAAAGGGAAAAAATTGGGAGAATTGGGTCCAAAAGGCCACTTCAGTTGAGCAGCAAAGAAGGGGGGGAGGGAGTGTATGTGGCAGGTCCCTGTTAAAAAAAACAAAATACATCTGCAAATGTACAGAGTGAGTGGATCCCAACAAGAGGCAAATTGCAAAGCACAAAAGGATTTGGGACACCCCTGATTTAGGTAATCAATAAATAAGGAATCGGGCTGGGTGTGGCAAGCAGGTTGGAATCCCACCGATGCTGCTTCCAGGAACCAGAGGAGATTCAAATCCTTGTTTGACAAAACTTCAAAACTTTAGACCGGCCTTCACCTCGGCCGGTCTAAAGCAGGCGGCTTCTTCAGCGGTGCCTGGATGGATTTGAACCCCGCACCGAAGTGGCCTTTGGAGCCAAAACTGAAATTTCCCTTCCTATTCCCCCCCTCCCCTTCCCCAGGGCTAGTGAGGAAGCACAGCGTGAAAGACATTCCTGACACTTTTTAAAAAAAAAATGTAAGCTGCTAGCCACCAACGAGGAAGGAGGAATGATAAGCGGATGACTGTTTTTTCCCCCTGAACAAACTGAGGTCCTGTTTCGGATACATTCAAGGAACCTTCGAGCAGCAAAGTTATTATTATTATTATTATTACTTTTTTTAAAATATTCCCCTGTTATTCAAAGCAGCATGTTAGAAATTAAAAAAAATAAAGGGAAATAATCTGTACCGTGTGATGCCTGGGCAGACACAGGATTAAAATCCACGACAGAACATTAACAGAGGGAGAGGAGAACAAGGGAGGTCGAGGTTTATGTACAAGGAAAGTGAGCACAAATACACACACAAAAAATTACAAATTAAATAATCCCTGTAGTGCCACCGGGTTAAACAAAGCGGAAGAAAGGAAAAAACATCTTTGCTCGGAAAACCTCTTCAGGAATTCTCTTGGTTTCTTGGCAGCCCTTTCTAATTTAGCGTAATTTAATGAGCAAGGGGGAACCAGGCAGAAGAATTAAAATCTGCTGTTTTCAAAGATCGATCGATGTAAATGAAAGGATGAATCAACTGGCTCCGATTGAACGGAAGGAGTGGATCAGGGGCCTTCCGACTTGGCCCTTTGATGGCTTGTGGACTTCAACTCCCAGAATTCCTCAGCCAGGCTGAGGAATTCTGGGAGTTGAAGTCCACAAGTCATCAAAGGGCCAAGTTGGAAGGCCCCTGGTTTAGACGATTCTCAGATTACAATCAGGGCCACATCCTCACTTCAGCTTCCGTCGTTTCCTTAACTGTGGATTCTGCAAAGATGTCAACGGTCCTCGGTCCTCGCATGGAGCCGCAGGGCATGCACAGAGGGTTGGCTGGCCCGTGGCAGCGGCCTGCAGCTCCGGACAGCGGCCCAAAGAGCTGGCTGGCTCTAGGCCCCGTCGGCTGGTGAAAGCTTTCTAGATCCGGCTTCTGCTGAAACTCAGATTATTATTATTATTATTTTAAAATGAAGCACAGAGGCGGACTTTCTCTGTTTTGGAAGAGGCAGGGCTGGTTAATTTTTAGGCTGTGGAAAGAGGGACCCCTCTCGGATTGGATCGAGGGCTTCCAAAGGCAAAAGCGACAAAAAAATAATCTTAATTTCCCTAGGTCAATTTTAAGTCGTCCGCTGCACAATCAGATCCGGAGCATCTAAAATAAGCAACGGAAGAAGGCTTTAAGACTTACACCTCTTGCTGACGCAAAGATTGGCCCAAGGTGAGCTGGTGTGCGTTTGTGTAACCTGTGGCTGTGCCCTGCTGACCCCTTAATGCTCCTATAAAGCACGATATGTCATTCTTGTTATATATGGTGTGGTTTTTTTCCAGAGCAAATTTTCCCAACCAGCTTTGTTCCGAGCTCAACAAACAAAACAAACAAACGAAACAAAAATGTTATTTTAGTGTAGACACCCTATTGCCAGGCTCCGGATAGATTCTCCCCACCGTTTTATTTCCACAAAACTGGACTGACAGTGTCTCTTCTGTTGTGCGCAAAAAAAATAAAATAAAAATCAACTCATCATTAAAGTCACTGCAAAATGCCCCCCCCCCATACACAACCTGGCTCAACTGGCAGCCTTGTAATTTGGGTGTTGTGTAGTGTCATCACAGGGCTGAGAGTCCCGCTATTAGACTCCCTTTTAGTGCAACAAACCCAAAACAATCAAACCAATTGCATAACTTATGCCTTGTTTCAGGATCCAAAGTTCCTTCGCTTTAAACCGGAGTGGGGGGGGGTTGTCCAAACTTGGCAGCTTTTTAAGACCTGGGGACTTCAACTCCCAGAATTCCCTGGTAGGAAGTAAGTTTGGACACCCCTGTTCCACACAGAGATCCCACAGAAAATGCTCAGAAAATCTTCCCGACTCTACGTCACGGCAAACTCTGTGGAATTCCACGGCAGAATTAAGAGGATTCCCCACCCCACGTGGAAAAGACCCCCCCAAGGAAGTCTCACTAAGGCATTGATCTAAAGATGGGGGGGAAAGCTACACACACCACGCTTATCTATCCGATGGGACAAATGCAAAAATTCAATTGTTTTGTGAGGGGAAAATCAGATTTTTGCCTTTTCTCTGGACAGACTGCCCAGGCTCCTTCTGGGCCCGTCAGTGCCCAAGTGCTAAAAAAACGAGAGAGAGAGACCAACCATGGTTTGGAGGCTGGTGGAAGCTTGTTTTGAAAAGCCAAGGGGGGGGGGGGGATCAAGCTTTTCCTCTCCAGCCTGCAGCCAAAGGCCTGGAGGAGCGTTATCCACTTCCATCGTGGAAAAATAATGCCCTGGTAAGCGAATGGAGAAAGGGGGAGGCTGGCTGGACACAAATCTGTCTCTCAGAGGTTCTGCAAAAGAGGTACAGGAATCTCTAGAACCCCCCAAAGGGAGAGATGCCTCCTGCCCGCGACAAATCATTGTTTGTGGAGTGTTTCAAGGAGCTGGGCTTTCAAAGCAGGCATGTTTCTAAAATAGGTAGAAATGATCCTTCCGCCGCCGTGGGAAGCGGTGCTGCCCCCATGCTGGTTCAATCTCCCCTTTCACTGGGGTGGGACTGGGCAGAGCCCCGTTTTAAACAGGGTTCCACCTTCTTCTAGGTTATTCTGCTGATGGGGGAAACAGGGGGTGCTACATTAGGGCAATCCTCTCCGTACCTTTCCATTGTAGCGGTCCTTCTGGGATGGAGGCGAGATTCCCGGCCTTCCACAGGGGGCTCGGGGACTGAGAAGCAGGCAGATCCCGCAGCCAGTCCCCGTTCCTGAAAGTCTGAAACCTTCTCCCCTGCATCTGCTCCAAAGAGGAGGCAGCCATCACTGGCCAAGCTACAAGGGCTGAATTTAACCAGGCTACGCCGGCGGCCGAGAAACGAGCCTGGGTTAACCGATTCCTAAGCAGAGATCCAAAATAAATAAATGGGAAGGCAGCGTACACTGGGAAGGGGGACGCCCCAAATGGAGGGGCAGGAGTCTTTCCTGGAGAAACACAGTCTGGTTATTTTCCAAGACGAAAAATCAAACTCTCGACATCCAGACAGAGACAAACACAGCGCAGGACAGGACAGGCGACATCACTTGGGGTGGGGGGAGTGAGGAACCAAGGGCCCAAATTGGGGTGGGGGGTGGGGGGAGTTTTCTTTAAAAAGAAAAAAAAAGTCGTGCATATATAAATATGAACCCCCTTTCCACCCCGCTCACCCACACACATTTCCCCCCCCTTCCCGTCGTTTCTTCTTCGGTTGGGCCCCATGCGATGAACAGTGTTTTCAACACTCGAAAAGGAAAATGGTTAGAATAGTATTGTTTTGTTTTTTTTAGAGGAGAAAAAAAAAAGGAAAGGAGGGAAAGAGAAAGAGAGAGAGGAAGAGAGGAGAGAAGGTGGGAAAGTGCTGGAAGGTCAGCCAAGTTAAAGCCACAGGGTTAAATACAAGGAAAGGGAGCGAGTCAAGTATCACAGAGAAAATGAGAAGGGAGGGTTTTTATCTCTAGCCGAAGGTGGATTTGGGAGAAAATAAAAACTGCGTGAGAATTCCCCAGGGACTCAGTACTTCAGCTGTCCGGAGAGTCTTCGGGCGAGTTTGGACCTGCAGAAGGAAAAAAAGGAGGACAGGAATTGAGGGAAAGTGTCATGGCTGGAGGAACTGCACCCGGCACTGAGATGCAACACAACCACAACCACACGGACTGCGTCTATCCTAACCGGCAGGACCCAGATTCAAGTTTATCCTCTTCCTCAAAAGCTACCTCGAAAGGTTTCTCAACTCTGCTCATGGCCAGGAAGCTAAAATTAAGGCCGGAAGAGAAATGCACCCTGCAAAAACAGAGTTTGGACATGCTGGACTGCTGGAATTGTGTTCCTAGAAGTGGCAGAAGGAGAATCCATCTGTGGGAAATCAGCCCCAGAGAAGGAAATACCCCACCTGTGACAGGACATGGTAGGATTAACTCACAAAGGCCAAAGGGCACACCCAGACTCAGGTCAGAATACGTGACACAGGAAATATCCTCAAAGTTCATGCCACAGGAACAGGAAACTATTCCAAACAAAAGGCTAGAGAGGGTATAAAAACCTACTACCCATGTGCTCAGCTCCTTCTTTTCTCTGGTCTTTCCTGCAAGAACCATCGTTCTGCCTCTTCAATAAACTGCAAACTTCTTCCCAAAGCAGTCGCCATGTTGTTTATTTATCCCCGGCTTGGATGAACCAGGATGAAGACTTTTCCTTCAACACATCTTTTATTACGGGTCGCAGGGCCAGCCCAACAGTTAAACATTAAATTAAATACGTTCTCTAAAAATTATTGGAAAAATAACTAAGCCAAGCAGTAACAGGAATTAGGATCTTGAGTTCTCTAGGTGTTTTTTTCCCCTTATGATCACAAAATTTGGCTGCTGCACAAGTGCTGGCTGGATTTGAATTTGGTGATTTCTAAGCTGATGCCTTTCAATAAGACTTGCTTAATCTAAAAGAGGCTAGTGGACTCCTCATCTCTAGTGCCCCATCCTCTGCTAGCAGTGACAAGGTTTTTTTTTTTTTTAACTTCCTCTTTGCCGATGAACCCTCGCTTCTCACCACTTTTGCAACACTTCCTCTTGAAGGAAACACGCCCCCCACTTTTCCTTACAGACCTGAAATTGACACACACACACACACACACACACACGCCTTCCCAGCCCCTTTCCCCCACGAGGCTGCCGATGCGTGCTATCCCGTTTCAGGATTTTAACCAGGTTTATGATGGTTCCCCAGGCTGTGTGCTTCTTCTGCTAGCGTCTGCAGAGGCCGCGGGCCCACTAAGAAGACCCCATCAGCCCCGGCGTGTCCCTCTTACCGTATCGTGCCAGCAAGGAGGGGGTTGAAGGCGTACAGCCAGTCGCTCATGTCTTTGTCATTGAGCGCTTGAAGGAGGACGCCGCGGTGTCTGGTGCAGACGGCAAAGGTGTTTGGTGTCTAAAATACAAAAATAAAAACGTGCCGGCGTTTTGTTTTTATTTTTTTAAAAAAAATGTTTTATTGATTTTCTAATTTTACATTTAAGTATTTGAAAAGCCACGCGGCGGCTGGGTTAATCGAAAATACAATGACATACAAGTCTCTTTAGTACAAATCTCAAGCTGCTCCATTAAGTTTTTCCTCTCTTTTCCCCTGAGTATTTACTGTCTCCTGTTTAAACTAATACAATCCTTATTAAACCAGTTCAATAAAAATAACATTCTTACATTTATCAGTTAATTTTTGGCTTATACATATCCTTACGATTTTAACATTCAGTCTTTATAGTCTTTATACACATGGCGGCATTTTAAGCATTCTTTTTTTTTTTCCCCGTCTTCCCTGATTTTCAAGGCTCCACAGTTCTGCAGAGCGGATGTTTCTTAACCAATGCAGGTTTGAACATCCTTGGCCAGGTTTTCAGAGAACCCGTGGTCCCTTCCTCCCCAAGGGAATCCTTCTTGATCTATACAGGGTTTGAAGGCCATCGTTTACCACCGCGGAGGGATTTGGCACCAAGTTAAGCGATCCCTTAAACCTGAGCCAGCCGTGTGTGGCAGCAGCCCAAAAAAGCTAACACAATCCTCGGTTGCATAAACAAGAGGCACAGAATCAAAGTCACGTGAAGTATCGGTGCCGCTTTATAAAAGCTTAGTAAGGCCACATCTGGAACGCTGCATCCAGTTTTGGTCACCACGTTACAAAAAAGGTGTTGAGTCTTTGGGGAAAGCGCAGAGAAGAGCAATAAAGAGGATTAGGGGACTGGAGGCTAAAATATACAAGGAACGGTTGAGGAATTGGGTCTGGCTAGTCCAGGGATAGGCAACCTTGGCTCTTTTATGACTCGTGGACTTCAACTCCCAGAATTCCTGAGCCAGCATAGCTGGCTCAAGAATTCTGGGAGTTGAAGTCCACGAGTCATAAAAGAGCCAAGGTTGCCTACCCCTGGGCTAGTCCAAAGAAAAGAAGAAACAGGGGGGTCGTGATAGCAGTACTCCAGTATTTGAGAGGTTGCCACAAAGAAAAGGGGGGTGTCAACTTATTTTCCAAAGCACCAGAAGGCAAAACAAGAAACAACGGATGAAAATTAATCAAGGCGAGAAGCAACCTGGAATTAAGGAGAAACTTCCTGACAGTGTGGACAATCAACCAGTGGAACAACCTGCCTCCAGAAGTTGTGGGTGCTCCAACACTGCAGGCTTTTAAGAAGAGACTGGGCATCCACCTATCTGAAAGGGTGTAAGATCTCCTTCCTGAGCAGGGGGTTGGACTAGATGACCTCCAAGGTCCCTTCCTGCTTCTATTCTGATTGACTGGTTTTAATTCCCTCCCTTTACTTTCTGCATCCAAGACAAGGCGACCCCTTTGCGACTTCCTAGGGATCAGGAGCCTTCTCCCAGTTTCTGGAGCGGCCCACTGACCTTCACCATGGCTTGCTGATCCTCGCTGTACTCCACCTGAGCCGTGGAGAGGTTGATGATCCCCCTCTCCACCGGGTCCTTGTCGCTATTGTAGATGAAGACGTACGGGCGGCGCACCACCACAAAATGCTTGGCCCACGAAGGGGAGAGCGGCTCCTTGAAGTGAAGGTAGCCTTTCTTGGAGACCACGGATCTGGAAACAGAAACCCAGCGCAGAACAGACCCATCAGGGCAGGGAGTCTGAGTGGTTACAGCACCAGGAGGACCCTCCCCTTCCCAGTGGGAGGAAAAGCCATGAATCGGAGCCCTCTAGAGCAGGGGGGGGGTGTCTTCAAACGTGGCCCTTTGATGACTTGTGGACTTCACCTCCCAGAATTCCTCAGCCAGCGTGAGGGAACTATGGCCCTTTTATGACTTGTGGACTTCAACTCCCAGAATTCCTCAGCCAGCATGCCTGGCTGAGGAATTCTGGGAGTTGAAGTCCACAAGCAGGGGTCTTCAAACTTGACCCTTTTATGACTTGTGGACTTCACCTCCCAGAATTCCTCAGCCAGCGTGAGGGAACTATGACCCTTTTATGACAGCGTGCCTGGCTGAGGAATTCTGGGAGTTGAAGTCCACAATCAGGGGTCTTCAATCGTGGCCCTTCGATGATTTGTCGACTTCAACTCCCAGAATTCCTCAGCCAGTGTGCCTGGCTGAGGAATTCTAGGAGTTGAAGTCCACAAGTCATCAAAGGGCCAAGTTTGAAGACCCCTGCTCTAGAGGCTGGGATAGAGCAACCCATTTTCAAAAGAGGGGGCCCTGATTTTTCTCCCTGTTGCAAATGGCACGTTCCTTCCAATACGGAGACCCTTACCCAGGCCGGATTTCCTCAATATCCGGAACGAGGTTCAAAAACTCATTTTTCCCGGCTCTCGCCAAATAAGAAACTTCAGCAGGGGGTGTCAACTGGAACGGCTCTGCCTCCAGTCCAGGGCTAGAGGCCCGAGAATTTGCTTCGGGAGTTCTTTGGTTAAAAAAAAAAAGAAAAGAAAACAGGCCAAAAGAGAGAACGTGGTTAGTGTAAAAAATCAGGCACTGCAAAAAGCAGAAAAACACCGACTTGGTTCGTGAATGTCTCGTGATTGGTTCAGAGTCAAAAAAAGAAAAGAAGCAGAACAATCAACTTAGTGTCAACGCTGTTAACATTGGATGTTCTTGCTTTGACAACTATGGAGATGCAGCCCTTTTCTTTCTCATGCTTTACTCTTAGGATTAGATGATACTGAGGGAGGGGGAGGAATGTGATGGGAGTTAGTTAGACATAATAACAATATTGTAATAAGAGATGATAAGGCATGGTGGGAGGAAGAACTGGGCGGAAAGCCTGCATTTCAAACTAATTGGAGAGTGTGATTTATGACTGTTAGTTGGAGGGAATTGTGCTTTGATGCTATGTGCTATGGGGAGGGGAAGTCAGATTTTGGCTTCCACCATGGATGGAATTTGAATCTTTATTTGAATAAAGATTCTTTAGGGTAAACAATGCCTCGAAGATCTTTGAAGAGTAATATCTGTCGGAACCATGACACTTAGTTTGGGAGATCTTTGAGGTTATTTATCTATGCTCTTAATAAACCTGGATTCAACTATGGCACTTGTCTCCCACCCTCCCCCCAAAAAGCAGAGTTTGCCTTTAAAGCACGCATCCATCAGGATGAACAGGGCTGAGAGTGGGGGCAGGGGCAGAGCAAGTTTCTTCCCAGCCCTGTGAAAGAGAGCTTGGGGGGGGGGTTCTGCCAAGGGATGGGCGTCAACTCGGTCCCACTCACTTCTGATCCACCGAGTTGTACCTCGAGTCGGACAGCGAGGGGCAGGTGGTGGACGGGGTGAGGGTGGAGCTGCTGAAGCTGGAGACCGAAGAATCCCGCCCGATCGGAGAGATGTCGGACAGCTGGAAGAAGGAAGCAATAACTCTCAACTCAGCCCTTGCAAGGGAAGGCTTCAAGGGAGAAAAAAAAACCTGGTTAAGGTTCGGCTTACCTTACAATCGCTGATGCTGTTGTAGACCTGGTTAAATTCGCGGTTGAAAGAATGAGTAAGAAGCTGAAGGCACTGGAAAGAAAGTGCGGGTTAGGATGGAGGAGGTGGACAAAAGGAAAGGCGGCCGGGTGTGTTTGTGGGAGTGGAAGTCCATCTTCAGAGTTGTCTAGAGACACTGATCTAGTCTGGACCCCACCACATTTGGGGGAGAAAGGGGGTGAGGGGGAAGGCAGGTTCGCAACCATCACCCCCCACGATCATCACACACACTACCTTGGTAGCTAGCTCCTTCTCCCGCTCCACCAGACTCTCGATGTCGGCCGAGTCGTAGCCGCTGCTCTCGCTGGGGGTGATGGCGCTCTCAAAGGTAGCGGAGGAGATCTGCGAGGAGATACTAGTAGAGGTACTGAGGGTGCTGCTGCTCAGGCTGGGGGAGAGCGAGTCACTCAGGGACTTGGGCAGGCCGTCGCTGATCTTCTCGCGAAGCAGCAGGAAGTGACGCGTCTTCTCCACCTGGGCAGCAAGAGAAGAATCCGGAGAGATTCCGTCCGTGACTTCTAAACTGGGATGTCCTTCTCTGCCCCTCCCCCCCAAAGTACAACAAGCATTGTGTCAACGCTGCTAACAACAGTTGGAGATGCAACCATTTTCTTCTTATGTTTTACTTTTAGAGTTAGAGTTAGAGGATGCTGGGGGGAGGAATGTGCATGAGAGTTTAGCTAGACATAACAATGCTGGACCTAGCGTGAGAACCAAGGTTATTGAAATAAGGGAGGATAAGAATTGGCAGGCTGGAGAACTGGAAGGAAAGCCCGCATTTCAAACTAATTGGAGAATGTGATTTATGACTGTTAGTTGGAGGAGGGAATTGTGCTTTGATACTATGTGCTCAGGGGAGGAGAATTCAATTTTTGGCTTCCACTGTGTTAGTGCCGATGCTATGCTTCTCAAATAAAGATTCTTCAAGGTAAACAATGCCTCGAAGTTCTTTGAAGAGTTTCATCTGTCGGAACCATGGAAACATTGGTTGGGAGACTGAGATGGGCCCAGCAAGAAAGGACAGATGCAGAAAGAGGGACAAGGAGAATTAACAACTTCGGCAGCCTCAGGGAAAACCAAGTCAAGGAATCCCAGCCCTTCCTGTTCCTGCTCCTTTGGGTTCCCACCTCATGCAGCAGCTCCAGCTTCTCCAGTTCCCACTGGTGCTCCAGGATCAGACTGTCTCCTCGGGGTCTCCACCCTGCCAGGTTCTCTTCCCCTCGGACGTAGGCCACGGAGGTATCCAGGACTTTCCGTCTCCTCCTCTGCATTCCTGAAACATAAAAACCGGATTCAGGTCAAGTCAGTTTCCAACGCACCAGGAGGGAAGGTCACCAACTTCTACTCCATAACCAAACAAAGAAAGTTGAGTTTTGAAAAAGCATCTTTGGGTCAACCATGACTGAGAATGGATGACTGAGAACCTCCATGGGCAAAAATATGATAAATTAACAAATCAGCCCAGTTCAGAAAAAATATGGTGGAATTTTTCTTTTTGGGATATTCACGAAAAGGGGCGTCTTCTGACCTGGGCTTCCGGTGTCCGACATTTTGCACAAGCTCAACTCGTAGATCCCGGTTACTCGGTTGCTGCTTGCAAAGAGGGAGGCAGAAAAACAAAAACAAAACGATAATTTGAGAAAACAAGGCAGTCTCGGGAAAGGGTCGAGCTCTTAAAGAATCCTTACACTGGCCCAAACTGGAGTTAATTCCTCAAACAACAAATATATATATATATATTACCATGTACAGAGGAACACTTGCTTGCCTTTTTTTCTCAAGTGAAGGAATCTTTGACCGATTCCTGGTCAGTCTGAAATCAAGAGCCCTCTGCTTGAAGATTTCGAGAACCGACTCAACCAATCTTTTTAAAATTTCATGAGGAGGTTTGCGAGACACCAAGAGACAGCAAACTAAGGTTAATCCACATGTCTCATGGCCCTTGACTAACCCAGGGGATGATCTGACTTACGAATCTGGGGACTTCGAGTAGCCACGTCCAAAGAGACTGCGCAGTGAGCGGGGGGGCGAAATCTTGGCATCCCGAGAGTAGAAGATCATGCAGATGTCTTTGGTGATGACGGCCGGTTGGATGCAGTGATCCAGCTGGAAGGGAAGAAACAGCTGGATCACTCCCACGTTCCATTGTGCAAACAGGTGGCATTGTCGCTCTCTTTGGCACAGGCGGGTGTGGCGCAAGCGGAGGTGAACGCACATACTTCTAGCTCCAGATTTATTATCCTCTACATCAAGGGTGTCCAACCTTGGCAACTTCAAGGCTTCAACTCCCAGAATTCCCCAGCATGGAGAGTTGAAGTCCACAAATTTTTAAAAATCGCCAGCTCTATTTACCCCTCTATTTAAAATCATATGAACTCACTTAACAGGAAGAGGAAAGACATCTGTCCCTTTGGAAATAACACTCTAAAAGGTCAAAAATGTACTTTGTAGAGGCCAGATATGTACTTTATACTTGATTCGCAGAGCTCTAGAACTTCAGACTGTTTTAAGTAAATAGGCAAAAGTGTTAATCTTGGGTAGTTTTAAGCTTTCTGTAGAAAACAAAAGTTAGAAGCGAGTCGCATTCTGAATAAGCATAAAAATATTGAAGTTTGATTGATTTCACTGGTCGTTTAAGGGTTCCTAAAGTCCTAACTCACAATGCAGGGAGGGATTTATCAATTGAACACCAAAGAGAATCCCTGCAGACAAAAAGCTAGCATGGAGGGAGTGGTCGCAGGCTCTTATTCCCGAGCGGCTTGCGTTCTACTTTCCCGCCGACAGAAGAGGTACCATCTGCAAAAATCCAGATCAGTCCCAAGTGGTCATCTTGGTGAGACATAACCTTCTACCTGTAGTCCACATTCTGGACTACAAGAGCCTAACTCTGGCCAGCGAGTTTCTTTTGAGTCCTTTCAGAAGTTCTAGATTTAAAAACTGTAAAAATAAAAATAAATAAATGGAGCTTTCAAATTCTGCTTCGCTTAAAGAGATCCCTGTCCGTAGTTCAGTCCGGTTGTCGCTGTTATGTTCCTTTGGCTGGGTTGACTAAATTTTATACTCTGGGTTTGTTTCTCATTGCTGCCCGGTGGTTAGGATTAGGGCTGTGCAGATACATCGTAAAAAATTTAAAAATGGCCTATCAGCTTAAGAAAAGGGGGGATTCCCTCCAGGGATCCCTGTTATTTTAGAGCAGCCCAACCTCTCCTTTCCCCCTTCCGTCAGGCTGAAGCGCGGAGACCGGAAGAAGCCACCTCACCTCCAGGTAAGCCGAGAGGGTCATGTAGATCTTCTCAGCGTAGGGGGTCACCCGGTTCAAAAGAAGGGAGTTGTGCAGAGAGCTGTCCCAGACAGCCTCAAAGCGGTAGAAAGTTCTGGAAAAAAATAATAATAATCATTAGCGCAGAGGCGTTTCTCCCAGCTGTGGCTGGGCAATAAGCTTAAGAGCAATGATGGCGAACCTTTTAGAGACCCAGTGCCCAAACTGCAACCCAAAACCCACTTATGCATCGTCGGGTGCCGGGTGGGTGTGGCCCATTGTATGGGTGTGGGCAATTGGGTGGGCGTGGCCCATTGGGTGGGCATGGCTGCGGTGGTAACGGCAGACTGGGTGGGACTAAAAAGGTCAGTCAATCAATTCCAACTTTGCAAGATCTTTTTTTTTCCCGCGAGAAGTTGAAATTGACTGATTGATTGAACTTTTTTTTTTTTTTTTGCACACGGCGGGGGAGGCCTAAAGCGAAAAAGTTTTATAAAACCCAGCTGAAGGCCTAGGACTGGGGTGCGTGCCCACAGAGAGGGCTCTGAGTGTCACCTCTGGCACCCATGCCATAGGTTCGCCACCACTGCCTTAGAGCAATTCTCGGCAGGTGGAACAAAAGCAGACCCCTTTCTCGGTTTCTACCGACACCCTCTGACTTCTACCTAACTGCAAACCTCACATTTTTCAGTGATGGGTGTCAGAGTATCAAATTAACTCCTGATTCCTGGCTCGGGGGTCAGGGTGAGCGATCGGCATTCAGAACTAAGAATGAGAAAGGGAAGGCATGGCGGCTACCTTTCCACGGACAGGCAGGGAAGAGGGCCTGCGTTTGGTTTTTGTTAAGCTAGCTAATGTCTGAAGGTCTGCTTCCCCGCCAAACCAGCTGAAGGAAACAGGATTGAGTGGCTCAGCCCTGCCCTAGAGCTATTCTCTGCTTTTGCAGCTCTTCTAAATCTGGACAGACCTGCTTTGCCAGTCTGAAAAGAAACTGAATCTTGCACAGGAAAGCCAGAAGGGCAAAAAAAAAAAAGGAGGGGAGGGCAGATTGGGACAGGGTCCCGGGAGAAGCTGAAGCAGCGGCAAATGAAATCCCCTTTTAACTAGTTTCAAGCAGGGAGCAGAAAGGGTGCAAGGTCATGTCTAATTCTAGATCAGGGTGGAAAAGATGGAGAGGACAACATTAAAATGGCATTTCCACCGTGCAAGAACCAAAGACTCAGCACAAGAGAAGTCAGAGTGAGTAAAACAGGAAGAAGCAAACGTTACTGGATATAGATTGGGAAGTGTGGGTCAAGACACACTGGAAAGGAACCCCCATTTCTGGATTTTTGAGGACGGGATTAAGGAAAAGAGCAACAAGTAAAAATTAAGGGGGGGGGAAATAAGAAAGAAGCGAAGCACAAATGTGGGACTTGAACGCGCAGAAAAGCTTCTAGCTAGCAGACTCAAATGCTTCGCCAAACATAGATGACAAAGTTCTCTTTTTTGCAAAACCCCTAAGATTCTCAAGGCATGCTGGGCAGGCCTGTGAGAAAGGGGCGAAGGGGAGACTTTAAAGCTACCCCCAAAACAAGGAGAGGTGCCACGGCGCCAGGCAGCAAAGAGGGAGGGGCTGAAAACTCGCCCGCCAAACTGGGACTAGGCAAAAGGGGAGGACAACAGGCTGTGCACTAGGGCGGGAGCGCTGGGGGGGCCAAGGAAGCAAATGTGAAAATACCTAGGCATATCCTTATCAAGGAAGAGCCTGTGGAGATACAGAAAGCTTTCGTTAAGTCAGCCCAAACCTGGATGGACGAGCGAGAAAGGAAAGCGGCGAAGAAAAAAGCAACACTTCGAGCCAAAGGACAACGCAAAGACACAAATGCAGGGACATGAACACACACATACACAGAGAGAGAGAGAGAGACATGCATCATACATGTGTACTCAGGGGGGCCTTTCTGGGACTTCCACCTTCTCCTGCCAAGGGCAAGAGCTGAGCAAACCACAAGCAGGATGAGTTTATTTCACGGCCAAAGGGGGCATCGTCACAGCCGTAAGACGGAAGCCTGGGGTGTGTGTGTGTGTGTGCTAAAAAACCTTTGTGTTGGGTTATAATATTATATCATTATTTGTCTATTACAAAAGGCTCATTTCAGAGGTCCAACAAGCCTGACTTTAGTGTATTCAGGCTGTTCCATTTCTCAGCTCTTGATGGAAGAAAACCCAGTCTGCGCTATTTCGGCAGATAAAACAGGGTCACCGATTCTTTAAGTGCCACCCAACCTCAGATCTAAACTCTGCTTCGAAGCTATCCTAGCCGGTGCACGGAGAAACCTCTCCCAATCCAGGGCCCCGGTAAATGTGTCAGGATTCCCATCGGTCGGGCTGTCCGGGGAGCATGAGAACTGGAGTCCACCCTAAGCCGGGGCTCCCAGGCTGGGGAAGGCCTCTGACCTGTTGGAGCTGTGAGAAACCCTCAGGTATTTTGCGGAGATGATGTTGAGCGACAGGACGGCATCCACGGCCGTTTCGTCCACTTCGGCTTTGTTCCGGATGCGCCCTGCGGGAGGCAAAAAGACCCCACCGATTGATTCGGTGTCACTTCGCAGGGGATACTCGTCGTCAAGTGCCCGGAGAAATCAGGAGGTTCCGGGCAGTTCAGATGGGTATAAAGATTTATTGCCAGCTTGAGCTCTCTACAAGAATCTGAGCTACTAACATCCAAGCAAATTAGCGGTAGATAAAGAGTCCGTGGAATTCAAGGCAGGCTGGGCTTAGATCTGTGGGCACGAAGGGACTCGTGACTGATGGCATGTTTGACGCCTCCCTCAGGCCCAGCCTAGTCGTCTCCTACATGTGTAATTGCAGAAGGATTTTTTTGGGGGGGATGTCTCCCAACTGAGATGTTTCCCCACCCGAAACCACTCATCACTCCAAACAGCCTGTCAAATCTTTCTGGAAGGATAACTTCCTGCGAAACCCAGCCTCGGGTACAGAGGACTTCAGAAGTAGGGTCCCTGCTGGCCCCCGAGGTCTCGTGAAGGATCATAGTCACCCCCTCCTCACTGAAGACCCCCTGGGCCAGATAAAGTGGGCTGGGCACTCTGCAGTGAGCGGAACGGTGCTGAGAGAAGGGAGAAGGAACTATACGGAAGCCGAGGAAAGGATACTTACCGACTACCAGTTCTCTCACATCTTTCCAGTGGAGCTCGTTGCCTTTCTCGTGGATGATGGTAATGGTGATCCTCCGCTGTATTCCCTGCAGTGATGGAAAGAGACCCGCTCTGTGGCTTCTCCCCCTTAGCATTCTGCCTCTTCAAACACAGCCAGCTACAGATGTTAGGCTTAAAACCGCCCAGATCTCCTGACATCTGGACCAGCAGAGAACTGAACTGAACCGAGCTGAGGAAGCCTGCCAGATGCAGGTGCCAAAGGCACCGTCTCACTTTGGTGCCGGCCATAAAAAAAGGGGAGAACGGAGATCGAATTCACCAAGACGAGGTTTAAATGCAGATCCCCAAGGAACATGGTTAATTTTTATTTCAAACAGTCCAGTTTGGGGGGGGGCAGCATCTAATAATCCCTGTCTGACCTCAGGCAGAAGGGTCTGGTCTGATTTCAAATTGGGTAGGAGACTGCCAGAAATAACAGGATGGTAGGGCGGGGCATTTTGGAAAGGAAAATCACAAAAAGGAAGAAAATGACCATCGGCACTATTGTCACTGCCAAGAAAACAGTCTTCCTGTAGTAACCAGAATCAAGACAGTTTCAAAGGAGACTTTGTGGGGATCCACCTACCTGGTGAAGCAAGAATGTGCCTTGGCAGGGGAGACCTCCAGTGTGGTCCACAATGGCCGGGATGTACCTGCAAGGGAGAGAGGGGCAAAGAGAAAATCAAGATGAGGGAGAGATTTAATTTCCCCAGGACTCACAGCTAATTCCATCCCAACCATTCCCCCCCCCCTCAGATAAGCTCTCATTAAAAATACAGCTAGACTAATTGCTGGGAAGGACCAAGATCTTAGCTTATCGATAGATAATCACATTTATTAGAGAAGGCTTTGGGGAACGGAAAGGGGTGCTTAAAACCAGCTACGCGGGAGGTTCAGAGACACAGCATCTGCCTGTTCCTCTCTTTCATTCTGGGAACCAGTTACAGAGCTGATTCTTCCAGCGGGGAAGGAAAGCAAAGCGTCGCTTGAAAATCTTTCTCCATCTTTCTTTCGGGACCGAGCTCTCCATCCTAAACCCATTCCGACACCCCCAGATACTCCACAGCGTCAATCTCTCTCGCAAGGCACTCTTCTGAATGGCCAAACGAGTCTGAACGATGCTCCTTTGGGTCTGTAGCAAGGAAGGAGGTCTTCTCCTTATCGGCCCGTTTTGGCCACTGGTTCTCCGTGCTCCCGCTTAAATCCACCCAGCGCCTTCGTATGTTCCTCGGCGAAAGGATCTCGCTTTGCCCGCTTCGACGTAAAGGACGAGCGGCATGAACTGCTCCTGTCACCCGGCACCCCACCAGGGACCAACTTACTCTCCCGTCGGCTCCAGTTCGCTGATCTCAAACCAAACCAGGAGATCGTATTTGGTCATGCTCTGCCCCAAGTTGGCTTTATTCATCGTGTTGAGTTTGGTGGCCGGGACTGAAAAGAGAGAAAAGGCTTAAAAATTAAGAGGAAACGCGGTCTGGAGAGGACATAGGGACACTCCTAATGCTGCCTGGGGTTGAGGAAGACAGTTTTTGTGATGCTTAAAGGAGGTTTTTTCCAGCCTGCTTTCCTCGATGGGTTAGGACTCATAAGCTCCAGCCTAAAATAATGACGTTACATTACAATATAATGGTAAAGGTTTCTCCTGCCCAGTCATGTCCGACTCTTAGTTTCTTAGCTGAAGGAGCCAGCATTGCCCAAAGGACCTTTTCCGTGGTCATGTGGCCAGCCTGACTATACAGCGAAGCGGATTGAACATTATTACCTTCCCATTTGCATGCTTTCGAACCGCTAGGTGGCAGGAGCTGGGGCAAGTAATGGGAGCTCACCCTGTTGTGCGACGCTCGGGTCTCAAACCCGGGTTGCCAGCTGTCCAACTGACAAGGACGAGGACAATCAACCAGTGGAACAGCTTACCCCCCAGAAATGGCGGGCGCTCCATCACTGGAGATTTTAAAGAAGAGACTGGACATTCACCTGTCTGAGACGGTATAGGTTCTCCTGCTTGAGCAGGGGGCTGGACTAGAAGACCTCCAAGGTCCCTTCCAGCTCTATTCTAGTCTGACCATGTTCAGCCTCCTTAACCACTGAGCCCTCACACACACACCCTGTTCATGATAATATGATATTATAATAAGAGGAGCCATTTTCCTCCTGTCACTTGTGAACCAGCCACAATTCATTAAGTCATATTATTATTACGGATCATCGCACAGTCAGCCAGATGTTCAGACTGGATTTGGCATTTTTGTCTACCTCTCGAGTCCTTACTAAGGACCTGGGATAGGCAGATGTGGATGTTTGAATTGATGGTATTACAGATATCGTCGCAGGATGGAAGCGGTTCCTAGTAAGGCCGCCTTTTGCAATTGACTGATGGAGAATTTGTCAATGCCAATGGTGTTCAAGCGGTGCTCCAGTTGGGAAAGGCACCTATTACTATTGGTATTATTATTATTATTATTCACAGAGAAGGATCCCAGGAACAAAAGAAGACAGAATATGGATACACAGAACAAGGTTTTCATATAGCAAAGCAGGAACATGGACCCAGAAGGACAGTTCTGACAGTTCTGACCAAAAGTATTCGGTAGGTTTTTTTCTTCTCGTCTTAAAAGAGAATCTGGAATGTCCTTAAAGCCCAGATTCAACTCCTGGGCTTGAATGTGGGGTCACATTTTTTGATACAAGTCAGGCCCCAGCCCACAACGGGATGAAAATGGTAACAGAGGGCTTGGGAGAAGGCCCAGGTGCCTGGAGAAAGAGTCCAGAGGGCTGTTCCTATATGGATCCCCAACTGGTTGTTCTACTGACCATCTCGCTTGGGAAAGTGCTGGGCCTGACAACTGGGGACAGGCAGAGAGAGAAAAGGCGGAGGCGACTGGTCAGCGTCGTCTCGGAAAGTTGCCACGGCCGAGGTCGCAAGCACGTTGGCATGCTGGGACACAGCGTCGAGCACGGGCATGCTGACATAGCCAGACATGAGATACTTGACCAGCTCAATTTTTCTCTCATGGTCTGGAGAAAGCAACGAGGAGGGTATGTGGGGAGGAAAGACGTGGGGCAAAGAGGCGACCGGTGAGAAAAGAAAGGCATGAGAAAGGGGGAGGCAAGGAGGTCGGAGGGGAGGAAGGAGGGAGAGAAGGTGGGGAAAAAAATGGAATGAATGAAAAGAATTCAACATGCACAGCCGAAAGCTAAACCAACAAAACTGTGGGTGGGTGGGTGTGTATGTATGGTGATGAGCGAGGGGGATGGTTACTGCGAAGGGAGCAACGGGTGAATAGAAAAAGGCTGATCAACAGGAGTCCAACACAATCTCCAGGCATGAAAAGAACATCAATTTGTCTTCATCTAGTCCTCCAATCTATTTTATTTTTATTTGGGGGGGGGAATTGGTCCCAATAAGACCTATCCATTTGCAAACAACCGGTAGCCCTTTGGCAGATAAAGGCTGGCCCACAATTTGATCCATTTAAGGCGGGTGGCACCATCACCCAGATGGTTGGGAGGTGGCCTACTGCTCCAGCTGTGGAGTCCAGCTGTTGAATGTTGCGATTTAATAACATTAACGGTATCGTCACAAGATGTGACCAGTTATTGTTACTACTACTAGTGCGGAGAAACTAGTAAAGTTTGTCTATTCCTTTTCATTTCCAATGATGAATGTGTTTGTGGGTCCCTGGCGCCATCTGAGCTTGGGGGTTTTCTTGCAGATGTTTCATGACCAAACTAGGTAGCACCCCACACTGATGACGTTACCCAGTTTGGTAATGAAACGTCTGCAAGAAAAGCTAGCAAGATCAAGGACCCCACAGGACCCCACAGCTGAATCCTGAGCTACCAATATTCCCGTCTGCCGGTGCTAATGCATTTTTAATCTTATTTTCCATTCAATGTCTGCTAACTCCAAATGACTCTGAGTCCCACAGATCAATGGATTATTCTTGTTATATTGGATTCGATGCCACCCAATTTCACCTGACTCCCTGCGGTCTTCTAAGCATCTCCGTGTGCGAAGAACTTTGTTACTGAGAGGGGACAATGGTGTCTATTTCTTGTCCGAAGGAAAAATAACTCTTACCTGGCTTGGAGAGTGGCATGGGAGGCGGGAAATATCGGCGGGATGGCTGGGCAGGGCTGCGGAGAGAAGAGGCAGTTAGCGCAACTGGTGTGTATCTGAAGAAAAAGGGCGTGTCGTGGACACCTTTGAATTCAGCACCACAGTGAGGATAGACCAGGGGTAGGCATCCTTGGCTCTTTTATGACTCGTGGACTTCAACTCCCAGAATTCCTGGGCCAGCCACACTAAGGGGAAAGGGAGAGGTTTCCAAGCTGAGCCAGGCCGGCTCAGGAATTCTGGGAGTTGAAGTCCACGAGTCATGAGGGGCCCTAGTTCCCCCATGCTGGCTCAGGAATTCTGGGAGTTAAAGTCCACCAGTCATAAAAGGGCCAAGTTTGAAGACTCCTGGTTTAAATATTTAAATATTTTTTCCTCACAGTCACATGATCAAAATTCAGGCATTTGGGCAGGGGTAGGAAACCTGGGCTCTTTTATGATGCGTGGTCTTCAACTCCCAGAATTCCTGAGCCAGCCACGCTGAGGGGAAAGGGAGAGGTTTTCAAGCTGAGCCATGCTGGCTCAGGAATTCTGGGAGTTGAAGTCCACGAGTCATTAAAGAGCCAAGGTTGCCTACCTCTGGGATAGACAGATCCCTTTGTACAGGTAATTGTCGACTTACAATTCAGCCCCACAATTTCTGCTCTTAAGTGAGATGTTTGTTAAGTGGCTCTTGCCCCCATTTTACAACCCTTTTCGCCACAGTTGTTAAATGAGCGCTGCAGCTGATAAGTTAGTAACCTGCTTGTTAATTGAATCTGGCTTCTCCGTTGACTTTGCTTGCCTGAAGGTCGCCAAAGGGGCTCACGTGACCCCGGGAACACGGCGACCGTCATAAATATGAACCGGTTGCCAAGCATCTGAATGTTGATCACGTGACCATGTGGGGATGCTGGAAAGGTCGCAAGGGTGAAAAATGGTCCTAAGTCACATTTTTTTCAGCGCCATTGTAACTTGGAACGGTCACTAAATGAACGAAGCCAAGGACTACCTGCGGTCTTTCTTGTAACCTGCTAAGATGGCAGTAATCTGGACCTCTGTCTAGAGAGGAAAAGAGGGCAGTGCCGTATTCAAGACAAAAGAGATTCTGAATTATCTGGATTTGGTTTTCCTCCACCCTACAAGGGGGGAGAAAAGTAACCCCTTTGGCTGTGGTTTGTTCTCCAAGCCGGTTTCGATATAATTTCTGGACGTTTCATCACCAAACTAGGTAACATCCTCTGCAGGATTTTCTTGTCCTATTCTCCTTCGCTTCTAAATAAAACATAAAATCCTGCTGATGATGTTACCTAGTTTGGTAACAAAACGCTCAGAAATTATATGGAAACAAACTCAGAGAACAAACCATAGCCAAAGTCTAAAACCCGAGCTACGAGTATTTTCTATTATTTCAAAAGTAACCCTTAATTCTCCTAGTAGTGGACAACCAGTAGGAGAGGCAAAGGAAGGAGGGCGGTGGGGGCGAGCGCTATTTTGCTTCTGTAACACGCCAGAAATTCTTCCTCTCCTAAACAGAGATACAGGTTGTCCTCGCCTTAACGACCACAATCCATTGCTAAACCAGACAGCCCTGTTTTACCACTTTCTCTGCCACAATTGTTAAGCAGATCACCGCAGTTGTTACGTGAATCTGGCTTCTGCCCGCTGACTTTGCCAATTGGGAAGCGGATAAATGGTAAACTACGTGAGGCCGGGGACAGGGCAACCGTCATAAATAGGAGTCAGTTGCCCAGCGTCTGAATTTTGATCAAGTGATGCTGCAACGGTCTTGGGCGTGAAAAACCAGTCATACGTCGCTTTGTTCAGTGCCGTTGTAATTTCAAACGGTCCCTAAATGAACGGTTAAGTCAAGGGCCACCTGTGTACCTGTTGAGTTCCTGTCCCTGCAGATGTGGCGAATGGAGCTGATAGTGTCCAAAGACTTCAAAGACAATGGGCTTGGTCTTGATGTATTCGACAAAGGATTCGGTCACTTCCACGGAGATCTGTCAGAGGAGACACGGAACAGCCCTTGGAGTGAGCGAGAAAAGACTTAAAAAACAAAAAATTTAGCCAACCAGCAAGCAGAAGAGAAGGTTGGCTCGCCTATCTGGAAACAAGGATGAAACTTGGGCAGCTACGTTTCCTCTGCGTTTCAAATTGTAAGGGGGAAGAAGGTGTTACTTTCGAATGGCTTAGATGGAGAAACAAAACTTCTGCGATTATGCTGAAGACCGTGAGAGCCTGAAACCTTTTCAAGGACACCGAAACATGTGTGGATTTCAAGCGGATGGTTCCCATAACAAAGCAAATTTGTTTACATGGACTAGGTAAGACGTTGGGGGTTTGGCTGGGAAAATAATTGTTTATTATTGTTTAATGAATTTGGTGTTAGTTTTGCTTCGACATTACCATGCAGTGTATTCAATAAACAGTAAAGAGTTCGGAGGCGGAATGAACCTGGGGTTGTATTTGGATTCTCAAACTGGATGTTGACCGCCACTTCGTCGCTTTCACTTACATTTTGGACATGATAAAATCCAAGTGGGGCCCCTCGGCCGTTATTTTTCAGAGGTTCGGTGGAGAAAGCCTCATCGTGCCGGTGGAGAAAGCTAGGAAAACAAGAATAAACCAGGTGAAGGTAAGTGACTACATCATCGCCTTGCTTAGCAATGTTCGTTCCAGTCTCAATGATGGCCGTGAGTCAAGGACTGCCTGTAGCCCTGACATTTCCCACATCATTATCAATCAGAGGTTCTTGCGGCAGACATAATACATTCCTCAAACAACATTCAGCATGGACAACGATAATCACAGGTTTCCTGCTAGACCAGGGGTAGGCAACCTTGGCTCTTTCATGACTCGTGGACTTCAACTCCCAGAATTCCTGGAAGCATAGCTGGCTCAGGAATTCTGGGAGTTGAAGTCCACGAGTCATAAAAGAGCCAAGGTTGCCTACCCCTGTGCTAGACACATGTATTCCATTTGTCAGCATCCCACATCCCAACCTGCGTGTCTATACAGATTCTCCGTCATCCAGGTCACGGTGGCCCCAAAGGTGCTTTTTCAAGAGGCCACTGGACTTTCTCTGCTTTTCCTTGAAGACGTTTCGCTTCTCCTCCAAGAAGCTTCTCCAGCTCTGACTGAAGTTCTGACCGACTGATCCATTCCCCACCCTTCAGTCTGAACTGAAGAAGCTCTTTGGATGAGAAGCGAAACGTCTTCGAGGGAAAAACAAAGAAAGTCCAGTGGCCTCTTTAAAAAAAAAAAACAATTTCTCCTACTCATTTGCTCACACACTTTTCTTTCTCCGGCTCATCATTTTCTACAATTCATCCCCCCCCCCCAAAAAAAAAGTTTGGGAAAGAACAATTTCTCTTCACTGCTTGCAGAAAGCAAGTCTCCTGGCCCTGTATTGAGCGAGCCACCCCCTCCCCTCCAGCAGAGATTCACTGGCCATGAACCAACCACTGCCTTTCCAGAATTATGCAGATTAGGCCAGGCTTATCCCTGACTTTCTGCAATCGCGAGGACTAGGAGCTTCCTTAGACTTACTTGAATTGGCAGAAGATATCTGCGTATTCTGGGAGGATCCCGCTGGCCTGGAGCACCGTCACCCGGAACGTAAAGACACTGCCCAGTTTCAGGTGGTCCCCAATCTCCTCAGTAAACCCTTCCATGGCCATCTTGCCATCCAACAGCGGGGTGGATTTCAGGTCTGCCCAAAAAGAAAAAAGAGGAATTTTTTATAAAAAGGAGCGGCTGTCTCCGGAAGGATTGCAACCCTCCTGAAGCATTTTCACTCGGAGTTCAGTCACATCCCAAGTTGCCTGTTCTTTGCCCGGCCTGGCTGTGGTCTTCATTCTACCCTCACCGCTTTTAGAGAGGCCTCAAATCCAGAGGTGGTATCCAAAGAGCCATCTCTAAGTTTAAAAAAAAAAACAACTGAAAAAGCAATGTTGGGAACTACTCTGCGCAGACATTGCAAGTCACAAAGCTTCTCTCCCGCTCAGATAGTTTAGGATCTGGATCTAGCGGAGCACGCTACAGCCGCAGCTTCATTTGACCCGTCTCCAATTTCTCCTGGACCTCAAAAGAATCAGAAGAGGCCTTCTGCGTACAAAATCTCCCGGTGAGGCCTGCTCAACTTACCCAACTCGTTCATCCGGTTGATTTCTTCGGGGGGCGTGCTAACGTCCGCGCTCTGCCCTTCTCCCTCGACGATCCTCAATTCTTCCAAGGACAATCCAGAACGGGTCATGGGCACGGATGAAAAGTTGCTCTGGGGAAACCACAAAGAAACGGGAGACGCCCAGTGAAGATGGCTCCCGCTTTTTTCCTACAGATTCCTCGTTGCCACTTGGATGCCAAGGCTTATAGAGGCAGGCTTAAGCAAGACGTTACCTTGTCAAAATACTCATTATGAAATGAGATCTTGGCGGTGCCGGACTGCCGAACGCCAGAGCCGTAATCGGGGGCTTCCTCGTCGGCTGTCGGAAAAAAAGAGAAAGAGAATATTTGTCGCGCAGGGTTGAACTCTGGAGTTCTTGGTGCTCTTTGAGTTTGGTGGTTTTCTTGCAGACGTTTCTTGACCCAACTAGATAACATCCTCAGTGCTAGAAGGGAGGAGGGGAAGGAGGAGGAGGAGCACAATGACTGTGGGGTCCTCGGTGCTCTTTGAGTTTGATGGTTTTCTTGCAGACATTTCATTACCAAACTAGGGAATACTATCCATGCAGAGCACAACATGATAACGTTACATAGTTTGGTAATGAAACATCTGCAAGCTCAGAGAGCATCAAAGACCCCTCAAAGGGAAAGAAAGAGACAAAATACAGCAGTTACAGAAACGAGCTTTCAAACACCCTGACTCCAATCTTTAAAAGGTGACAATTCCACTACTGGCCCAAACCGTGAACAAACCAACAAGGTCAGGAACAAACCAACAGCTACACTCGGCTTCTCGGCAAGGCCTAGCTGCAACTTACCAGCTATAGCTTGGACTGCCACACGCAGGAATCCGCGTACTTCTCCCTTCTCACTGACAATAGCCACTCTGTGGATGAGGGGGACTGGATAGAGAAGATTGCTCAAGTAGACGAACGCCCTGCAGGAAAAGAAGGATGTAAACCAAATGTTAGGCCGTTGTTCATAAAACAAGAGAGTTACTTTTGACTAATTGGAATAGAGATGGCATTTGGTTGAGGACAAACACAGTAAGAACTCATCTATTATCCTGAAATGAAAGGCAGCTAGACTCGTTTTGATCCTTTAACAAATCACCGACGATTTAATTCGTCTCACGGTGCTTACATATGAAAACTTACAAGAAAAACTTGTGAAGACAATTACAGAACACAATTACAGAACACGTCAAATTTTAGCCCTTCTTCGCTTTAAATTTTGAACAGACCGGAATATTTTTAATGTTTTCGTATTTTAACCAGTTACTCTCTCTTTCGTGGCAATTTCAAGGTTGCTGCTTACATTTAGGAGTCATAGTCAGCGATGTTTAAAGGCCATGTATTTTGCATCCAGAGGCAGACACAGCCTACTACTGTACAGTTTACATGAAAACTTACACATAAAAGTAGCAATTTAAATGTTGTGTTTTTGTGCAAGTTAGCTTTGTCGAAAGAAAAAAAAGCAACCTGGTTTTTGCAGCAGAATAAAATAACATTTTCAAATTACATTTTCCACCTTCCAGCCCCTCCCAATAGGCTGTCCCTACAGGCATAGGGACCCTCTGTCACAAATGGCCAAACAAAGGGCACATATGACTAATTCAACTAGGAAAAACAAACACTGTGGACTAGAAAGATGGGAAACTTTTATATGGTCACGTTAATCTATTCTGCCATGCCCATGTGCTTTCCCCCACAACCGATGAGGATTTTCCTGAAATGAAGAGAAGGTAAGCAACGCAAAACACAAGCACAAACGGTCTGTATATTTGATAACCCAAAAGTGTCAGTAGGAGGCAACACAAAAGGGAGGAAACACTAGCAATAGCAACACAATGGATACACAAACAGAAATGGCTTGCAACTCAAGACTAAGACAAATCGGCATCCTTTTTCCAGCCTGCTTTGCGAGTTTATTTCGGAGGGAAGCGAATTCTTTTAAGGCAGCAAGCAACAGCAGACTGAAAAGAAAGGCGAGTTACGATAAGCCCAAAGACTGGTGAGATCAAAGCAGCATCTTCACATTAAAAAAAAACAAGTCAGATGAGAAAATAAAAAGTTTAACGTGAGAAAAAAAAACGGGAGGGGATTGAAAGATGACAAACGGGACGCAAAGAATGCCTGGGATGGGTTGGAAAACATAATCCATGCGGAGGGGGGAGACAAAGGCCCCATTTTTGGTGCCTTCCCTGGGCAAATAAATATCAATTTCACACGGTGTGCCAAAAGAATTGACTGCAAGGACTGGCGTTTTTCCTCTGAGCCACAAAGTGGAAGCCAAACCAGCATCCAGATGTGGGCCACTGCACGGCCTACAAGCTCTCTAGCTTAACAAATGGAGCCAGGAAGAAGATAAGATGGGAACTCCCTGTATTGCCTAGAGTGGCAAGTTGTCACAGCCAAATGCAGGGCACTCTGGCCACAATCGCCAAAACTCGCTGGTGCGAACCGAGTGCCATTTCTATCTCTGGTTTTTAAGAGGCCGGCGATGCCACAGGCTGGCTGGTTAATTTCTAAACATGGTAAAAGGGTACAAAAAAGACAGAAGGGCTGAGTTCTCCCATCGTGGGAGCTTTTAAGAAGCCACAATTTTACTGGTAATGCTAAGCCATAATGGTGTCCTATTAACAGAAAATCAAATCACGTTACGGCTTCATATGAGCACTGCCTTCAGAGGGAATGCTAAGTAAAAATTAAGAAATCTTAACTGTGATTTAGTGTGATGTTGATGTTGCCAATCAAGAAATTTTTATATGAAAGTTTTTGGAGAGCATCAGCCGCTATTTTGTATATATATCTTGAGAAAATGGAACCCTACAGGGAAATAAAAGCTCTGGCTTGAAGGTCAAATGAGTATTTAGATTTTGATTCATGGTTACAAAGGAAAAAATTTTGACACTGCAGTTTTTAGTCTTATGTGCAATCTTCACATCTGTTTATCCGCTGGGGCCGTTTCAACGGGCACCTGTGGCACAACTGAAGTGCTGGATTTTTGCTTTCTGACAGGATTTGAGAGTTACTGGGTTTTATTGTTGTGAGTCACCCAGAGTCGTATTTTTCGAATGGGTGCCCGTGCAAATATGGAAAACCAAATGACCCACCGCAATTAATTCTCTTTTAAAGCCCACAGCACACAAACTAATTTCCACACGAAGCTAAAGCAAGCTCCGTTCTACGATGCAATTTAGGAGAGGGCTAAAAACTACACTTATCCAAGACTCCTGAATCTTGGATCATAAGCTACTGTTTTAATTTAGAGTGCTTGGAAATTTTTTTATCAATGGATGCTTTCAGAATTTTTCTTTTCTTTTTTTTCCCCCATTGTGTTTTTGCAAGCCTGCCAGAGAGGATAAGGAGGCCGGAGATATACGGATTTTTTAAATCAGCAAAATGGAAGAACTGAAGGTTCTTCATGTAACACTCACACTGGTCTTTGCCTAGAGATGAGATAAGACCACAGACTTTAGGGTCATTCTAGAACATTACGCAGGCTAAGAGCGAAAAGAGATGAAATTGAAATTATCCCGAAACAAGAGGCTGGGGAAAATCAGCCTGGGATTTGCCTGGAGTGGTTTCTCTCGATGGGAATGACAGGCAGCTCATGGGATAAAGCCAGTCCCTGCTGGCCATTCATACAGTCGACCTCACCAACCTTCCCACCAAAATGAACCAAGGGGACCGGTCGTAAAACGGGTCCTGCCCATCACTGAAGCAGTCCAATCCCTCCTCGGTCCCGACGTCAGAGCCCGTGTCGTCCACAAAGGCCTCGTCGTCAAAATCCGTCATCTCGTCCTGCTGCTCGTCGGCCAGCTCCGTGATATCGGAATCGGCGGTGGAGAAAGTGGGGGAGGGCGTGCGGTCAGCCAGGCGCTCATTCACACAGCCGTGGAAAATGGGGGAGCTAGATATATCGGTTAACGGAACACTTTGGTTAACGTGGCAAGGGAGGAGGAGGAGGAGGAGGAAGGGGAGGGGGGGAAGAGAGAGAAAGGAATAGCTTCATTGGAGAAAAAAAAAGGGGGGGTCTGCGGCTGAGCCCAGCGCACAGCCCACCAGAACAACATCACAAGGCCAAGCTTTTGGGAGGGGTCAAAGAGGGTGCGAGACAAAGCACAGGGCGGAAAAGGTTTCCGGCGAGAGAAACACGCATTTCCTAAGCTGTCAAAGCAAAAATATTCAACCCACTCTGCAAAACGAGCATCTCGAATCCAAATACAAAAACTCCCTTCCCACGTTAAGCTAAAGTGTCAGGGAGAAGACCGTTCTTGTTTAGTGAGCTAGTTCTCTACAGGCAAGGAGATAATTCAGCGGGGTAGGAGCAGATTGACATCCCAGGTAATTCCCCCAGGAACGGGACAATCTGAATTTCCACCAAACTAGGAAATAAGTTGGGTGGATTTTAGGAAAACCAGGGCAGTGGTGCGATTCACTCACCGAATCCGGTTTTTTCCCTCCCGGTGGAAAAAGTTGTGTGGGGCTGCAATATACACAAGCTGCTACCCAGCCAAGGAAATGCACGTGCGCACCAAAGCAAAGGGTGTTTTTTTTGTTTCTTTGTTTTAAATAAGCAAACTAACAACAATCCTGCTACCGTAGATGCTTTTAAATGGAACAAAAATTCTCACTGTGGCTTTTTTTACCCTCTTTTCTTCTAGAAAGAGATCTCAGAAGCAAGAGCGACCTAATTTAAACCTCTGGCTCTTTTCTGAAGTTAAATTTCCAACGGAATGTCCCAAGGAAATGTCATCAATAAACTGAATTACTATTCAGGGCACGGGAGGTTAATTTTCAAGGAGAAACGGACCAACTCAGCTCATTCTCAAATTGTAAAAAAAAGACCAACTGGATGGCCAGCCCTTCGCACGAAATCCTGTCCCAACCGTGCATCTATCCAGGAGGGGATAGGACAAAACGATGCCGGCACTTCAGACCCGCCATGCCAGGGATATTCCCGCAAGGCCGATGGGGGTCGTCTCTCTCCCGCATGGGCGCCACTCGGAATTGGGCTCCGCCTACCTCCCAACCAGCTTGAACCAATGGAATCGGTCGTAGAAAGGGTCGCTGCCCGTCATGGTGCCCTCGTTGTCTTCCTGGGCGTCGGAGGCCATCTCTCCGGCTCGGTCGTACATTTCTCTCATCTGCTCCAGCCTCTGCCTGCAAAGAGGAAGACGGCCAAGGGGTCAAGAGAGAGAGCCTGGATCAATTTAAATTGTGCGAAGAGATTTCGGCGCTCCTGCCTGCCATCTGATGTTGGGCTGGGGCATGGGTCAGCCACATGTGGCTCTTTGAGCCTTCCCCTGCGGCTCCTAGCTTCCTCTGCCATTTGCAGAGAGAGAGACAGAGATAGGCACTTGCGCTTCCCTTCCCTTCCCTTCCCTTCTCTCTCTCTCTCTCTCTCTCTGTAAAAAAGAGAGTGGCCTCACGCTGTTCTCAGACAAGCTGAAAAGCTTATCGGGCGGGACTCCTCCCTTTGCTGTATCTCAGTAGGAAGCAGGAAGCAGCAGAAAGCAGCAAGCAGCAGCTCTCTCTCTCTCTCTCTCTCTCTCTCTCACTCACTCACTCACTCACTCACTGAGTGGGGGAAGAGGACTGGCAGACCAAGTTTTGCGGCTCCCAATGTTTTCTTTTCTCTGGGAAACGGGTCCAAGTGGCTCTTTGAGTGTTTAAGGTTGCCGACCCCTGGGCTGGTGCATAAAGAATCAGGGTGTTGTTTTTTTTAACAGTAGCACCCACAGGGCTGAAGAGCGTCCTGAAGCCAACTCCCTGCCAGTTCTAACAGTTTGGGAAGCACTAAGGCAGAGGTCCCCAACCTTTTGGGCACCGGGGACCGGTTCCGTGGAGAGAGCCCTTCCTTGCACACCTGAGTTTATCCAGAGACCAGTAGTGAGTAGCGCCGTTCTTTAGATCTTGGACCTCTACTGCCACCACCGTGCGAGGGAAGGGGCACTGGCTGCGGGGCTTGTCTGAGTCAGCGGGCAGCAGCTCCGGAGGTAAGGGGGAATAGAGCGTGTCGGTCAGCAGAACGAACTGGAATTGGACCTGGGAGGGCAAAAATAAGAGGTGGATGTAATAATAATAATAATAATAATGATAAAGTTGGAAGGGACCTTGGAGGTCATCTAGTCCAACCCCCTGCTCAGGCAGGAAACCCTATACCATTTCAGACAAATGGCTGTCCAGTCTCTTCTTAAAAACTTCCAGTGTTGGCGCATTCACAGCTTCTGGAGGCAGGTTGTTCCACTGGTTAATTGTTCTGTCAGGAAATTCCTCCTTAGTTCCAGGTTGCTTCTCTCCTTGATCAGTTTCCATCTGTTGCTTCTTCTCCTGCCCTCAGGCACTTTGGAAAATAGCTTGATTCCCTCTACTTTGGGACAGCCCCTGAGATACTGGAAGACTGCTTATCATGTCCCCCCTCGTCCTTCTCTTCATTAAACTAGACATACCCAATTCCAGCAACCATTCCTTATATCTTTTAGCCTCCAATTCCCTAATCATCTTTGTTGCTCTTCTCTGAGCTCTTTCTAGAGTCTCAACATCTTTTTTACATCGTGGTGACCAAAACTGGATGCAGTATTCCAAGTGTGGCCTTACCAAGGCATTGTAAAGTGGTATTAATACTTCACGTGATCTTGATTCTCTCCCTCTGTTAATGCAGCCTAGCACAGGCATTTTGTCCTCTGCTGCGAAATGTATACTGCTCTTGCATATGGAGGTTCTTGGAAGCCCTTGAGGCTGATGGCCGCTGATAGGCTTTGCCAATTAGCCAATCGGCCTAAACCGACAGGCTCCTTTCTTCAAATGGTTTGATCGAAAGCTGTCTTTCTCCAGCTACAATGCATGGACTTCAGCTCCCAGAATGCAAGCTGGCTGGGGGATTCTGGGAGTTGAAGTCCACCCCCATCTTCAAGTGGCCAAGTTGGAGAAACGCTGTTCCAGCTGGACCTTGTGACTGGGTCATGGATCGCCTTCCTCCGAGATTCCCTCACCTTCTTTTTCAGCTCCACGCTGATGGCGTTGCCTTCCTTCAGATAGACTGCGTTGCCCCACAGCTGATCTCGTAAAGAGGTGAACTGGTGGAACTTCCATTTGCGGAAAGCCCACTGGGCAAGGTCGTACTCGTGCTGAGTCCAAGGCACTGCAACAACAACAACAAAAAATAGAGGAAAGATGCAAAGGTTAGTCCCTAAGGTTTACACAAGGGGTCTTCCAACTTGGCCCTTTTATGACTTGTGGACTTCAACCCCCAGAATTCCTCAGCCAGCATGCCTGGCTGAGGAATTCTGGGAGTTGAAGTCCACAAGCAGGGGTCTTCCAACTTGGCCCTTTGATGACTTCTGGACTTCAACTCCCAGAATTCCTCAGCCAGGATGCTTTAAGACAGGGGTCTTCCAACTTGGCCCTTTGATGACCTGGCTGTGCCTGGCTAAGGAATTCTGGGAGTTGAAGTCCACAAGTCATAAAAGGGCCAAGTTTGAAGACCCCCTGGTTTAGAATAAAGAAAGGGTCTTCTCTAGGGTGGCCTCTTAGGGCAGCTTCTCAATCTTAGCAACGTTAAGATACGTGGACTTCAACTCCCAGAATTTCCCAGCCAGCAGGGGAATAAAATTGCTGTTACAGGTGCAGGTTGACAAACACAGCCCTGGAACCAAGGAGCGTAGCTTGTGGGGCATCGCAACACTACAGTGCCTGAAGTCTTGATTCTCCAGATACAGGCAGTCCTCCTCTTACGACCGCAATTGAGCTCAAATTTTCTGCTGTTAAGGGAGACATTTAAGTGAGACTCGACCCGCTGTACGACTTTTCTTGCTACGCTTACCAAGCGAATCCCTGCAGTTGTGAAGTGAAACTGGCTTCCCCGTCGATCTGGCTTGTCAGAAGGTCACCCAAAGGGGATCACGTGATCCCGGGATACCTCCACCGTCATAAATGCAAAATTCAAGCGTCTGAATTTTGATCCCCTGACCCCAGGGACTCTGCCACAGTCGGAAGTATGAAAAACGGTCACGCCACCGTTTTCAGTGCTCTTGCAACTTTGAATGATCACTAAATTAAGTGTTGTAAGTCGAGGACTCTCTGTATTTTGAAGGGTCACCTGGCTTAGAACTGGTCGCTTTCCAAGCTTTGGGTGGCCTTTTTTTTCTTGAAACTCTTGGAAAGGAACACTGTTTTCTCAGCTTTTCAAAAAAAAAACTAGTAGTGGCCTTTCCCCCACCCCTTCAACTGCCCAAACTACCAAATGAGGGCTAAGATAAAAGATGGAGATGCTTCCACTTTACAAATTCAGGAACCCTCTGGGCTCACAATAATCATAATTATAATTTCCAAGTTTAATTGGGCAAACCAGCCCCCTGTGTCCTGCAGGAAAATAAATCGGTGGCGTATACTGGAGGGAAAAAACAAAACAAAAGAGGGTGTAAAATTCAAAGAACAGCCGCAAAGTCTCCAGCTGCAAAAATCCCTTGCGGGAGTTGGTTCCCGGCCCGGCCCGTTTTCGACTCACCCTCCTCTTCCTCTTCTTCCTCCTCTTCCTCCGTCGTCTCGGCAGCCAAGGAGCGGGTCTCCACCTGCTTCTGCAAGGCCTGGAGCTTGCTTTCGTAGTCCTGGAGGGGAACAAGAGAAGAAGTGTAGGAGAAGACAAGAGAGAAGTGGGGATGGGAGGGAGAGGAGAGAGAAAAAGGGACAGGAGGAACACAGAGGGAGACTACTCCAGGGAGGAGAATCTGAGAAACAGACCGGGAGGAACAGGCAGGGAAGGCACGGCTGCGTCCACAAGAGATTGGCTGCCTTTTACAGCAACAGGATTTGAATGCAGGGGATGAATCAGGCCCGTGGGCATTTTTTCTCCAGTTCAGCAAGGTAGAAAATATGGCAAATAGATTTGGCCTTAGCAACAGCCAAAGGCCATTGAAAAGCATAACTACTTTCCTTTTCAGCTGCATGCTGGAAGAAGCAAATCCGTTTTACGGCGTTCGGGACTGATGGGCGCCGTTATCCAGGGCATGCGGTGACCTGGATGCCAATCCAGCCTCAAGACGTTCTCCAGTATTTAAGTTGGAGGAGGCAGAGAAGACCAATCCAGCAGCTTCCAAAGGGAAGGCTTCTCGATCTCAGACGTAGCAACTGCTACGTCAATGGCTAAGGAGTCTTCGCAGGCTTATTGGGCTAGTCTTTCCTCTGAAGACGGCCCAGCTGAGGTGAGGTTCTTGCACACCCAGCATTGCTCGGAGAGTGGCTAAGAAGAAGCCATGATGGGGCTGGGATGAAACTCAACACAAAGATGGCGTTCCAAACCGGAACATGGGAGACTGTGTGGTATCTTGAGCGATGCAGTAAGGGGTCCTCAAACGTGGTCAATTTAAGACTTGTGGACGTCAACTCCCAGAATTCCCCAGCCAGGCATGCTGGCTGAGTAATTCTGGGAGTTGAAGTCCACAAGTCATCAAAGGACCAAGTTTGAAGACCCCTGCTTGTGAATTTCAACTCCCAGAATTCCTCAGCCAGGCACGCTGGCTGGCTAATTCTGGGAGTTGAAGTCCACAGTCATCAAAGGGCCAAGTTTGAAGACCCCTGCTCCATGTACTCCGTGGACCAACAATTTCAGGGGGACAGAGAAAAATCAACTACGGCATTAAGAATAAGGAAATCTGAAGATCTATTTTCATAGACGTTTGAGTATAGCTCTTTTATCCTCGACGGGCAGAAATTGATCCAAGGTATGAAAAACCAAGGGGTTGGTAGGGAAAGGATTATGAACGAGAAGGCAATTTCCCCAAGACCCTCCAAAAGGCAGCATCTAATCAATGAAAAGGATCGACCGATTTCTTCTTAATTCAACAGTCAAACCGTTTAAGCAAACAAGTCACCTGGCTTCTCCACATCCATCAAAGGTACCTTACAGGTCCAAGCTTCCAAGAAAAACGAGCCCTTTAGTAGTCTGTGAATTTAAGATTACAGATAGTCCTCCACTTACGACCCCAAATTTCCCTTGTTAAGTGAGACCTGTGTGAAGTGAGTTTTGCCTCATTTTACGACCTTTCTTGCCACAGCTGTTGTTAATTGAACCGCTACAGTTGATTAAGTTAGTTAAGCAAACCTGGCTTTCCCATTGCCTTTGCTTTCCGGAAGGTCGCAAAAGAGGATCACGTGACCCCAGGGACGCAGCAGCCGTCATAAATGCGAACCCGTTGCCCAGCATCTGAATTTTGATCACGTGATCATGGGGATGCTGCCCAGGTTTGTAAGGGTGAGAAACGGCCCGTTTTTTTCAGTGCCGTTGTTAACTTTGAACGGTCAACGAAAAAAGGCCCGTCGTAAGTTGAGGACTGCCTGTACTTCAAGGCAGAGAGATTGCAAATGAAACTGAAGAGAGGAACTGGACCAAACAACCAGAGGGGCTGTTTTAGCCATGACTAAAATGCCCCTGGGAGAAGATCTTAGGCTCAAGAACTTGGGCTGGATCCAATTTCTTTAGTCCAGCCCTTGACCAATAAATTTTGTGAACACCAGGAAGAGCAGCAATCCAGAATGTTATCGTTTCCATCGGCTTGAACCTTTGCAATGGCTCCATCGATATGCAGTTCATTTCAGGTCGTTAAGAATACCAATTTTTTTTGGGGGGGGGGGATATGCAAGAACCACCCACCTTTTTTCCTACAGAAGAACTAACTGCATGTGAAAGTTTAAACTAAGTTACGTTCCCGGGCAAACGGGCTACAAGGCCTGCTACAGCAGAGGGATTCACAATATAAGAACTTGGAAAAGATCTCACTGGATCCTGAATCTTATGCCCCCCCCCCCTTTTGATCCGCTTCCTCTAAAGGCTAGTGTTAAGAGAACTAACCTCTTTCGTTTAAAAAAAAACCCAAACGAATAAAATTAGCACCTTGGGTTTCCAAAAAGCTGCCCGTTTGATTCCCCAACCAAGTGACATGACAGGCTTAATTAATAATTTTTTTGTAATTTATTGAAATGACTTGTTAAAAAGCACAAGCAACTCCGCTTTTCACAAAATGCAGGCTTGTTTTTTTTTTAAAAAAAACCATCAAAACCACTTAAAAACAATAGATGGACAGATATATTTTTTTCCAGATTCCGTCACTTCGCTGGAAGAAACCATAAATTTACCTATCTATCTATCTATCTATCTATCTATCTATCTATCTATCCATCTATCTATATTGCTTAACAATGAGAAGGAGAAGGCACAAAACGGGCCGAAGAAGAATCCAGCTGAAATCTATTTTGAGCAACACAAAACATTTCCCTGACAAACTCGGACAGATTCTTTGACTGAGGCTAGTTACAATAAGGATGATCATGGTGATTGTGAAAGAAAGAAAGGAAGGAAGGAAGGAAGGAAGGAAGGAAGGAAGGAAGGAAGGAAGGAAGGAAGGAAGGAAGGAAGGAAGGAAGGAAGGAAGGAAGGAAGGAAGGAAGGAAAGAATTAAAAGGCAGGTATAGCTTCCTCTGCTGTCTGCTGCCCAACCCTCTTTTCGGTGAAACCGTGTTCATAAAATAGGAGCAGTTTTGGGGGTTGGACTAGAAGACCTCCGAGGTCCCTTTCCAGCTCTTATGATTCTACGTTCAATCAGAGGAAAATTAGCGAGGTCCAATTTATGAGTTTATGCACGGCAGGGCAAAGGAACCAAAGGTGGCTGGCCTTACACACACACACACACACACACAAACATACACAGACACGACTTTTAAACCAGCTTCAGGGACAAATCACCCATCACCTTTGGGTGGCTCTGCTCAATTAGTCTCCCCAGAGGAGCCTCAATTAAGGAGGAGGCAATGCAGAGAGTGGGAGAAAGGAAACTGAAATAAAACTTAGAAAGCAGCAGGGTAAAAGATCAAGGATCGCCACGGCCAAAATTTCACTAACAATCTCAGCTTCCCAGGCTGAGGTGCAAGCCGCGAGACCCAGACTCTCCTCCTTGTTCTCTTTTACCAGGGATGGATAGGATTTGGCATGAAATTGGAGAGGAGAGTGAGAGACACACACACACGTGTGCTTGCTTATTTTTAATCCTCTTGGGTTCTTTCCCGAATCGCTCCGTTAGCCTGTAAGACTTGGACGCAGCCCACTCCTTATTCCCCCTAAATCAGTGGTTCTCAACCTGTGGGTCGGGACCCCATTTGGGGTCGATCGACCATTTCACGGGGGTCGCCAAGCAAGGCTGTCCGCCATTTTTTCCCCCTTTTCCGGCGGGTGCCTTACCTCCCTTGGGCTGGGCCAGCTGGTGGTCGGCCTGCTCCGTCACTGCCGCTTGCCAGCTACGCCTCGGCCAGCGCAGGGGGCGGAACCGCGCATGCGCGGCGCTCCCGGGCAGGGAAAGTCCTCGACTTATGACCGGTTGGGTAATCCTCGACTTACGACCGGTTTAGTCCTCGACTTACGACCGGTTTAGTCCTCGACTTACGACCGGTTTAGTCCTCGACTTACGACCGGTTTAGTCCTCGACTAATGACCAGTTGGGGTCGCGGCATTAAAAAGGTTGAGAACCACTGCCCTAAATCCTATTCTACGCAACAGAATTCTGGCTTTTCACAGGACCTTTAAACTCTTTTGCTCCGTTTAGGTAGAGCAAAATGGTGCTTCTGACTACGGATCCGGGCATCACGAGATCCCGCAAAACAAACGACTGCTAAAAATTTGGCTCCAGAGAGGCTGGAAAGTTCAAAGGTACTTTTTTTAATGTACCTGTCCTTTTAAAAAAAAAAAAAAAAGAGGGAAGTTTTAGCCGACCTGGAGAATCGGGCACCAATGCTTTCGAAATCTCTGCCTGGAACTGTCTGAAACTCAAGCCAAGTTCTTGTGTTTTTTTGCAGCAAGAAACCAAGAGGAACAACTGGATGAAAATGTCAAATCCCCCCAGGGGGACCTTTGGAAGAAACCACGGAGCCTCACAAGCAGCACCAAAGGGTCCACCATGTCCTTCTGGAGCTCTGATTCCTGATTCTCTTCCTATGGAAGCCCAAAGCAGCAAAATCTGCTTTTCTTGACGCTATAACAACCCCCGCCACCCCATATCACACAACTGAGAACTTTAGAGGAATCAGCTGCCCTGTCTTAATAACCTGCCCCAATTGAAAAGCTTTGAGGGGTGACTTTCAGAGGATTCTGAAAAGGGGGGAAAAAACCCAAGAAAGGTGTAAAGATACAATCCAAATAAAATGCAAAACTTAGGCTCTTTTGCTTGAAGCGGGAAGCTTTGCGGGTGAGTCTGGCTGATTGTCCAAAGATCAAAGACACAAAAGGGGGTTAAAATGTCCCCGTTTGCATCCGTTGTTCCCCTCCCCCCCTCTAAAAAAAAGATGATAACACTGACAGTTCCCAAACTGACACAGAGGCCAAAGTAAGGGATTTCCACAATTGAAAAAAAGAACAACAAAAAACACCAAGTGTTTCACAGGCGGTTAACAGATGGGTAGAAAACAGTGCGGTCTTGTGCTTTGCGTTGTCGGTCGCCCACGGCAAAGGTCCTCTTGTGTGGCCCAAGCTCAGTTGTCGGTAGACAATCCCCATTTTCTCCCCCCCCCTCATCCCTCCCTTTCAGGATGGGCAGGACCCGGTGGGAGAGTCAAACTGTGGTTTCTCGGCTGGCTTTGAGGTTCGGGGCGGAGAACTGCCGCCTCATGCGCGGAGGGGTGACGTACTGGTTGCAGGGGCTGGGCCGGTCGGCCGGTCTGCTTCGGCCCTCGAGGCCACCGGGAGCGCCATAGGACTGCCAGCGCTGGTGAAGGTGGCGCCTCTGGTGGAAGGCTTGCAGATCTGGGGCTTGGCTGGCGCCCGGGGCGGGCGAGGACTCCGAGGAGTCCGACAACTGGCGCCGGAGGCCTCTCTGCTGGCCGTTGAGGGAATGGCTTCTCCAGCGCACGGGGGCGGAGGGGCTGGGCTGCGGATGGCAGGGCTGGGGCTGCGGGTTCAAGGGTTGCCTCTTGATCTGGATCTGATCCGGTGCCTGCTGTGGCCCGGGCCTGTTCCAAAGCGGAAGAGGCTGGTCGGGGAGCGCCGGGGCTTCGGCAGGCAGGCTTGGGGGCTCCACGCTATTCTCCGCCGTCTTCTCTTCCTCCTTGGGGATTCTGACCTCGATGACCTCGCTCTCGGTGATGATGATGTGGGTGCCGGGGCTCCAGGAGTTCCGGTGGGTGGGGTTGCTTTTGAAGGGAAAGCGGGGCTTGCGGTTCTCCGGCGGGATGAAGCGGTGCGGCGTGTTCTGCCGGCGGAGCTGCTTGGTGATCTCCTGCTGCTGCAGGTTCTTGAACCGGGTCTGCTCCTGACGCATCCAGCGCAGCCGCCCGCGCCGGAAGGCAGGGTCGTCCTCCATCAACTGGGAAACCCGGCCCTCTTTCTCGCAGCTCCCCTTGCCGTCCTCGCTGGCGTTACCTTCCGCGCTGAGCAGGCCGGCGACCTCCTTCGGTTTCGCAGCGGGCGGCCCTTTCGGTGGTTGGGAGCTCATCAGCGGCAAGACCTTCTCCATTTTGAGCATCTTGTTCCGGAGGAGCTTGATCTCCTCGTCCTTCATGTTGTTCTGCTTTTTCACCTCCTGCAGGATGTCTTCCAGCTTGTCGATGTGGACCTTGAGGTCGTCCACGTCGGCGATGCCTTTCCCGCTGAGCAGGAGGTCCTCGATCTTCTCGTCGCCCACCCCCACCGTGTCCCAAACGTCCCGGGCCACCGCCCGCCACGAGTCGCGCTCGTTGGGGTCCTTCTTCCCGTACAGGGTGCAGAGTTCTTTCATCTTCACGATGGCCAGGGCCTCGATCTCCTGCCGGGTGTGCCGGAAGTCGTTAAGCGCCACCTCGTAGCAGATCTCCTTCACGGCCTGGATCTTCAGATCCGAAACGGTCACCCACCGGGAGTCTTTGCTTAGGCGCCGGCGCTGAGGGATCTGATACATTTTGATGGGCTCTCGCTTCTTTCCGCTGCTGGGGAGGCCACATTTTTTAACAATGGTTTGCAACTTGCTGGGGGGCAGCTTCTCTCTCAGGGAAGTGATCAGCCGCCAGCTCTCCTCACAAGACCGCTTGTCCGAGTCATCCCCACTATCAGAGTCTGCGTCCTTGGGAAAACAAAAACAATCGAGAGGTGGCCCCAAAATAAGCAAAATTAAAATTTGGAGAAAAGAAGGAAAATACTGAACAAAGAAAAAAAAGAAAAAGAAAGGACAACTCAAAATTAGGGGGAATGATTTGGGGGTGGGGGAAGCAAAAGGAACAAATGAAGGGGTGAACATCTAACTGGAGTCTTAAAACTATCCCTAACCGTCTTCGGTAGATTTCTTTAATTCCAGACATATCTTTAAATTTCGTGGGATTTTTAATTCTCCTCCGAGAATATTCCAAGGGCTTTCCCAAAAATCCAATCCGTGTGAAACTCTTACAAGAGCCAAAATCAAGTACCTGTAGAGAGGAGGATGTAACACTTCATGCTAGCGATGTGCAAAACCCGTCAAACATTTTTGCCCGGTTAAAGCTCATTAGAGGGGGGAGAAACAAAGAGATTCTTCTCTCCGCGAGGATTGATACCCGACAAGTCATTGCAGAATGATCAGATGGACAGCCAAGGTTAGGTGGAGTTAAACACTGGGTTAGTAAGTGCTGTAGACGTGGTTCAGACTGACAGTCCGGTCAACTAGAAAAGCAGCCAGAAAAGGGTTAGAGAATCAGAGACAAACCAGTTCAGAAGCAGCCACTAGTGTCAAGGTTAGAAATAGTGGTCATTAACGGTGGTTAAAATGTTGGACGGAGTAAACCCATGTTAAAAGTCCACCCTCAATCATGGAAATTCCCTGGATGACCTTGGGCCGGGGGTCCCCCTCTCTCAACCCCCTCTATCTCACAGGGCTGGAGGAAAGAATGCTATACATGCCACCTGGAGAAAAAGTGGGTTACAAATCTGACAAAGAAAACAATACAAACGCCACCACAAAAATCTTTATTTTTTTTTTATTTATTTTGCCAGCAAAAAAAAAAAAAAAAAGCCGGCCATGCTGTTTAGATTTGCCAGCGATCCTTGGTTTAAAGGCAGACACGCCTTTCGGTTATTACAAATTGTTCTGAGGATGCCCAAGATATATATATATATATATATATATTAAAGGGAATCTCGTTAAGGTTTTCTACCATTCCACATCTCACTGTCATGCCCGAGAAACTTATGAACCGACCCGTAAGTTAAGCCTGCCCGTCGCAAACTTCATGCTTTTTTTTTTTTTTTTTTGCAGCCACGTAAAATGCTTCTATGTTAATAAACTTGGTGAGAGGTAAGAAAAACACTCCAAACAAGCTTTGGATTAATTTTCCCCAGAGGTTCCAACAATTATTCTAATTTAAATCCGAAGTATACTGTGATGGGCTCGGAGTCTATAATATTGACCCATTTAACCGAAGGGCTCCCCGCCAACTATTCCCTAGCCCATACAGCACAGCATCCTCAAAATCCCAGACTGCCAGAACCTGGAGCCTGGGAAGGCCCTGAATAATGCTGAAAGAAGGGGGGAGGTAGGAAAACTGCTCCGTTACCATGAATCATATTCCATTCATGGAAAGGAAGTTAGGAATGAAACCCTCTGACGGAGCTATTTCGGCACTAGTGCGTACTTTTTTTTAAAAAAAACCGTTAGGTTAAAAATAAAGAGCTACAGGCATGTTTTCGTTAAAAGGACGGTCTTTGAGGGGGTCCATGTTTCTCAAATATGCAAACAGGATAATTAGATGCTGATCAAAGTGTGTGGGGGAAAGGGTTGGGGGAAGAACCGCTTTCTAATGATAATCGAAGAGATTACAGGTAGTACTCGACTTATAACTCTTCGTTTAGTGATTGTTCGAAGTCACAACGGCACTGAAAAAAGTGACTGATGTCCATTTTTCATTCTTGCAGCATCCCCATGGCCAATTGATCAAAATTTAGATGCTTGGCAACTGGCATGTACTTAGGACGGTTGCAGTGATCCCCTTTTGTGACCTTCTGACAAGCAAAGTCAATGGAGAAGCCAAATAGCAACAGCACTGAGACTTCACGGTGCTTGACAGCCTCGCTAAGACTATGGCCCCCCCCAGCAATCTGGGTCCTCATTTTACCAACCTCGGGAGGATGGAAGGCTGAGTCGACCTCGAGCCGGACAGGATCGAACTGTCGGCGGTGGGCAGAGTTTAGCCTGCAATGCTGCATTCTAAGCACGCCGCCACCAGGGCTCTTATAGCAATAGCACGTAGACTTATATACCGCTTCACCCTGCTTTACAGCCCTTTCTAAGCGGTTGACAGAGTTGGCCTATGACCCCCCAACAATCTCGGTCCTCATTTTACCGACCTCGGAAGGACGGAAGGCTGAGTCGACCTCGAGCTGGACAGGATCGAACTGCCAGCGGTGGGCAGAGTTTAGCCTGCAATCCTGCATTCTGACCACCGGTCCCCCCAGGGCTCTTAAAATTCACTTCACAATCTTGTTACTAACTGGATTAGTAAACGGCAGTAAACGGTGGCAAGGAAAGTCATACACTGGGGGCAAAACTCACTTAACAACCATCGGTCTCGGCAAAGGAAGCTTTGGGCTCAATTACAGTCGTTAAGTCGAGGACTATCTTATACGCTCTTTTGACAGGCTAGGAATTTGGAAGGTCAAATTTTGTTTTGTGGCTCCCTCCTCATCGCCCTGTTTGTGGGTGGTGAGGATTTTTGTTGTGACGTCCGGCTACGCGAAGGCTTGATTGTCCAGCCCCCCTAATCTCCCTCCCTCACCGGCGCGTTTCTCTTGCTAAGGATTCAGACTCCATGCAGGGCAGGGCAAAGGCAGAGAGATTAAACGCATGCATCCCCCACAGCCATCATTCTGGAGATCCTGGCGGGGGGCAGATCAAAACCTGGCAGGCAAATGAATCTAGGACCCGGTTAGTACTTGGTGACTCTTAAAGAGACACTCTCCACTGTGATTTCAGAGAGGTCTGGAATTGGGTGTGAGGTGCAGAAGGACAACAGATCAACACCTGAGCCTTTTTTGTTCTGTCTGCTGAAGAAGCTGAGCTTGGTGTGGGTTGGAGAGAGACCAACTCATTGGATGGTAACCATGTCAAACCAAAATAGCACGCTTAACAGGCAAAGGGCAACTAGTTCTGGGCACTAAGCAGAGAATCTCTCTTAAAATCCGCCTGGGTGTGATAGGGGACACCTACCAGCCTCTGCTGCTCCAGTAAAAGATCTGCTTCTTCCTTCTCCTTCTTGTACAGAATCTCCATCTCTTGAAGTCTGCAAAGAGATACAGGAGCTGCTTATAGGGAATCCTCGACTCGCAAGCGTTAGTTTAACAAACGTTCCAAATTACAGTTGCAGCGAAAACGACATTTGACTTATAACCAGACCACTGCAGCATCCCCAGGGTCACATGATCAAAATGTGAGCGCTGACTCGCTTAACGGCAGGAGCCTGGCTTAGCAGTTCTGGTCCAAACTGCAGTCGTACGTTGAGAACCAGCGGACGCGTCGATTTCCCGCCGAGCCTAAGAACCCTTCTTCGGAATTCGACGGATGCTCCCCCTTTTCAGACTATCTTCACAAAGGATCTAAAACAGGTTTTGGGGGTGTCTAGGGCTAAATCACAGTCTGGGGTGAACAATTTGGGGAGATGGGGCTAAAGCTGTAAATGTATTTCTCGAAGGAAAGCATTCAAGACTCTTCTAAAACTACAGAAGGCAAAGTTCTGGTAAAAGAGTGCTAGGCTGCATTAACAGAGGGATAGAATCGAGATCACGTGAAGTGTTGATACCACTTTACAAGGCCTTGGTAAGGCCACACCTGGAATACGGCATCCAGTTTTGGTCACCACGATGTAAAAAAGATGTTGAGACTCTAGAAAGAGTGCAGAGAAGAGCAACAAAGATGATTAAGGGACTGGAGGCTAAAGCATATAAGGAACAGTTGCTGGAATTGGGTCTGTCTAGTTTAACGAAGAGAAGGACGAGGGGGGACATGATAGCAGTGTTCCAATATCTCAGGGGCTGCCCCAAAGAAGAGGGAGTCAAGCTATTCTCTAAAGTGCCTGAGGGCAGGACAAGAAGCAACGGATGGAAACTAATCAAGGAGAGAAGCAACCTAGAACTAAGGAGAAACTTCCTGACAGTTAGAACAATTAATCAGTGGAACAACCTGCCTCCAGAAGTTGTGAATGGAATTTTTTAAGAAGAGACTGGGCAGCCAGTTGTCTGGAATGTATAGGGTCTCCTGCTTGAGCAGGGGGCTGGACTAGATGACCTCCAAGGTCCCTTCCAGCTCTGTTATTCTGTCTTTATCTATTGCTATGAAGACGGCTTGTAGGATGTTCCAGTTAAAAGGAATTAAACGCTCTGCTTCCGTTTCACAGGTGATAATGCAAAGTGAAGTTTGGTTTCTCCTGAGAAAGTCCTACCTTTTCTCCATCTCCTGCTTCATATCGATTCCCTGCTTCTCCAGCAATTCTCTCTGGGCAAAAGTCCAGTCCACAGGCTCGGAGGGAGTCTCAGCCGACGGCGTCTTCTCTCTTTCAGCCCTGGCCTGCTCAGGATGGTTGAAGCGGAAGACGTGGTTTTTGCCCATAATAATGCGATTTCCTGGAGGGGCAAAGGAAGAGGTTGGCCAAGAGCCCTTTTTGGAGAAGGACAAACTCAGGCAACCAAGTTTTCTAGGACGATCAACACCAGAAGACATACAATTATAATCTGGAGCAAGGAAGGGGAGTTGACGGAAGAGTGCTTGGTAGACCTGGCTGGGGAATTCTGGGAGTTGAAGTCCACCCATCTTCAAGCTGCCAAGGTTGAGAAACACTGGCCTACGTGCAGGAGGGCCTCCATTCAATGCTCAACATCAGGGGTAGTCAACCTTGGCTCTTTTATGACTCGTGGACTTCAACTCCCAGAATTCCTGAGCCAGCATGGCTCAGCTTGGAAACCTCTCCCTTTCCCCTCAGCCTGGCTGGCTCAGGAATTCTGGGAGTTGAAGTCCACGAGTCATAAAAGAGCCAAGGTTGACTACCCCTGCTCAACATCTTCAGTTGCGAAAAGGTTTGGTAAGCTCGCAAAGCTCCTCCCAATGAGTAGCTGATGCTAATGACTGGGGACTAGACAGCCCAGCACACACAGCTGGGATAAAAAAAAGTGTCCTGAGCGTAAAACGGAGCCAGATGGTCAGCATTCAAGACGCATGTCCTCATGAAGAAAGAGGCATGGTTACCTGAACGCAGCTGGACTGGCTGCACCACCCTCTTGCCGTTGACGTAGGTCTCTGAGCATTCGCACGGCTCCAGGCTAACAATCACTAGAAGGAGAAGAGGAAATACTTCAGTCATTGTCTGAACTGTTGAGGAGAGAGCCAACATATACGAAGGAGAAGAGTTTGGGGGAAGCTGGCAAGGGTATTAAAACAGCGGCCACCCCTCAGCCCATGCCCCGTTTGGAACTGAGCTACCCAAGTGTGTAAGTTGAGCCGCGCAGGCGCACACATGCGTTGGCCAGCCAGATTCCAAATGGGCCGCAGCCCGGGGTTGTGGATCCCTGATTTAAAATACGGAGGATCCCCCCCCTGCTTACCACTGCCGTTGGGGTTCCTCTCGCTGCGGAAAACGCAGTGCTCCTCTTTGATGTGAGCTCCGCTCAGGACGATGTCTTGGCGCCGCTCGGCATCCGCCTGGCCCACCCTGTGACCGAAAAAGAGGATTTCTAAGGCATGGTGGTATCTAAAAACAGGTAAACTCATCATCTGCTCCAAGGCACATTCACAACATCCAGACGGGATCGAAAGCCATTCAGATCATGCCGCTGACCTGGTTATGCCGTCCTTGATGTAATAAAGCAGGCACTCTGACATCAGGGGGTCCTCGTTCAGGTTCACCAGATGAGGGGTCTGAAAGAAACACGGCATTCCTTGAATTACGCGCCCTCTTCCCCATGAAGGCCGGCCGTTTCCAAATCCAAAACTGCTTCGCCCTCCCAGGAGAAAAGCAATCAATTCTTGGATGGGTGAAATTTTATTGCAATACAAGAAGGAGAACACCGATAAAGGAGAATATTGGTAGCTCGGGTTGAAATAAGGGGTTCTTGGTGCGCTCTGAGCTTTGTTGTTTCCTTGTGGATGTTTCGTTGCCCAAACTAGATTAACGTCATCAGTGATGAGGTTATATAGTTTGGTAATGAAAGGTCTGCAGGAAAACAACAAAGAACGCACCGAGGAGTGCTCAGAAAGGGAACAGTATCAGAGGAAGAAGAAGAATCTGTTCAGAAGCATCAAAAAATCTTTACACTCTGGGTGCTGTGGGCTAAACCGTAGTTATTTTAACATGTATTTGTTTTAACGGAATATGTTTGGTGAGTGACAGCCAGGGATAGTTGGGTCCTTTAGATCAGAGGTCCCCAACCTTTTGGGCATCAGGGACCAGTTACCTGGAGAGAGGTTTTTCCGTGGACTGGGGGGGGGGACGTGGTTTTGTGTGCTACCTGCATCCCGCAGATGGGACTTTGCTTGTTTGTGCGGACCGGTTGCTGGCATGCTGCGGCCCGCTCCCGGTCCACGGACCGGGGGTTGGGGACCCCTGCTTTGGATTATCCTTGGTTCAATAGCTGCCAATTTATTTGCCTTCTCTCTCCTCTTTCTATGAGAAATACCTAATTCTTCCGAAGGGGAGCAGGAACTGGGCAGGACGAAATTGATTTAAAAAGCATTTACCGGACGCTTTCATTGCTTGAATCAAAAAGTCAGGAATGCGTAGTTTATCTCGTACGGAAATAGCTCAACAGAAGGAAAACGCTCTCGTCCAATTTGGCCGGGAATAAATAAATAGTGGAATTTCTCCTGAGCGATGTCCACAGAGCAAGCGTTTCACAGATCACAGGGATCCCCCATGCTTTCAAACCGCAGCTTTGCTGGAAAGTCTGAAGGATCTATCTGCTACAAAGGTTCCTAGTGGGATCTAAAGCTACTACAGCCACTCAACCAACCTTCTTTGGGGAAAACACCCCACTGGAACCCGCCAACAAATCACAAGGCCTTGGTGTGAATATCTGGCCAGTGAGTGCCAGTAAAACACAGGAGGAAAAACAAAATATTACATTAGCCACAGAAATAAGGAACTTCGCCCTCCAGATTCCCAACAGGCAGGTCCAGCTTGTAAACTAAGGGCAGTTTCTTCTGAGCTACAAGTGCTACAGAAGTACAAGAACTGAAAGGAACAGATTATCAAGTTTGTTTGTTTGTTCGTGTCAGAAGCGTCACAATTCAAATAAGGCATACTCTATGACGTAACGTTTAAAATATAAAACACAAAGATTAAAATCTGTACAAGTTAAACAGATCCTGCCCCGAAACTAGCAACATTAATTACGTTCGGTCACGCTGCCCGGTGAGGTCTTCAAGTGTACAAAGGGCAAGTTTGCATAGGTGTTGCTGTTTGCGTGTCCCCACAATCGCATAGGGCAGAAGCCACTGGATAGCCCCACTTGTTCTAAGTGTCTCTGTTGCACCCATGCGAGATTAGGGGAAGTAACAGCTAACCAGGATGGATGTAAAGGGTAAGGAGGAGAAGCATGGATTCCTCTATTCTACTTTCACAAGCTGCAATCTCTGCCGAAGCCTCTGTGTCGGCACAAAGGCAAACCTGGTCAACCGCAAAGCAATCAAGAGAGTCATCAAACCAAGTTGATGATCTCTGAGAGAAGATCTACAAAGGAAATTCAGACGACGAGAGAAAGGGGGAAAGGAGGGCTTATTGATATATTTAACGAATAAATAAATTTTTGATATCCAACTACGAAAAAGCATACACGCTTCTGAGACGATTGCTTTTAATTGATACTGTTGTTTTAACTTAAGCCATCTCGAAACCTTATGTCAAGAAGCGAGTCAAACACAGTGCTACCATTTCTGCAGACAAGCGACCGCAGTTTGTTGGACCGGATAACCACTGTACAACGCTGCCTACCTTTTTGGGTGAGAAGACGCCAAGGGTGCCTCCATCTTCTCGGATGGCGACTCCCATCTCAGCTAAGAGCGCTTCCCTGTGGAGGAAGGGACAAGAGATTGTAAAGAATTCCTTCGAAACACGCTTAAAGTTCAATTCGTACATTTGGATAGGAGTGGACGAGAGGAATTTGGTTTTTGCTTTGAGTGTGGGAAATTGCACTGCGCAGAAAGAAGAAAGAGTAAGAAGAGACAGTATCGTGAGATGTAAATCGGAACGAAAGGCATTTTTAAAATTTCCCAGTTTTTACAAAAGACATTTTTGATTAGAACTGGGGTGGGGCAGAATGCAATATTGCAGGCTAATTCTGCCCACAGGCTCAAGGTCGACTCAGCCTTCCGTGCTTTTGAGGTTTTGGCAAAATGAGGACCCAGATGGCTGGGGGAGCGATATGCTGATGTTGTAAACTACTCAGAGAGTGCTGTAAAACACTATGGGGCAGTATGTAAGTCTATGTGCTTTTGCTATTGCTGTTGATTGTCTTCTCCTGATATCGTGGAGGATAAAAAACAAAAACAAAAACAAGTAAGATAGAGGATCAAAATAACCCCAAGCCAAACTTCTTTTGCAGAAGTATCTGGGAACCTTCATTTCACATAAATATATATCTGAATGAATTTAATTTGAGTATGATTAAAGAATCAAAGAAGAGGGGGTCACATTATTCTCCAAAGCACCAGAGGGCAGGACGAGAAACAATGGTTGGAAACTGACCAAGGAGAGAAACAACCTGAAATTAAGGAGAAACTTCCTAACAGTGAGGACAATCAACCAGTGGAACAGCTTTGCCTCCAGAAATCGTGGGTGCTCCATCACTGGAGGTTTTTAAGAAGAGACTGGACAGTCACTTGTCTGAGATGGTATAGGTTCTCCTGCTTGAGCGGGGGGCTGGACTAGAAGACCTCCAGGGTCCCTTCCAGCTTCTATTCTATTCTATTCTATTCTATTCTATTCTATTCTATTCTATTCTATTCTATTCTATTCTACTCTACTCTATTCTATTCTATTCTATTCTATTCTTTCTCTCAGGATTACCTCAATGCTCCTCTATTGTTTTGAATGGTCTATTCATCTTCTCAAATCGTGCCTGGCTGAGGAATTCTGGGAGTTGAAGTCCACAAGTCATCAAAGGGCCACATTTGAAGACCCCTGCTCTAAGGCAGTGTTTTTTCAACCTGGCAGCTTCAAGACATGTGGACTTGACCTCCCAGAATTCCCCAGCCAGCATGGGGAATTCTGGGAATTGAACACACCTCTTCAAGCTGCCAAGGTTGAGAAACACTGCTCTAAGGTAATGATAGAAGATGATTTGGGGGCACTAACCTCTCCATCCGAATTGCTTCGGTCTTCCTCAATTTCTCCTCCCAGGTTTCATTCAGCTCTGCAATGATTTTCTCAGATTCCTGGGGGGGGGGGGGAAGGAAAGAGAATGGAGAAATAGGGTTACATAAGACAGAACACGGGTTTCATTCTAGGCTCCTCAGCCCAACAAATTAAAATCTAGCCAAATCGAAATCCAAGAACGGTCAGTGAACAGACTGATTCTCTGGAACCCAGGAATCCTCAGCGTTTCTGTGAAGCTTTGGATTCTGCAACGGATCCTGCAAGTTTCAACCTATATTTTTTCCCTTTTCTTTCATCGAAAGCCCTAAAATATCCATGGTGTGCTCTCATAAAATAGTTTCGTATTTACAAAGCCAACGATTTCTTTCAATACTCTCTTGATCGGGCAACCGTCTCTAAAAAAAGAACTGCAGCAGAATCCTATCCGGTGCCAAAATTAGGCAAAGATTCGTAACAACATTTTGGACAAGGCTTGGTTGAAAAGCCTTGATAACTTGTTATCTTTCCACATCATCTTACCATGTAGAATCTGGAATGTTAGTCTTTTTTTGGGGGGGGGGGTTTACTGCAAGGTGATCCAACCGGTCAGTCCTGGAGGAGATCAACCCTGATTGCTCTTTAGAAGGCCAGATCCTGAAGCTGAAACTCAAGGACTTTGGCCACCTGATGAGAAGGAAGGACTCACTGGAGAAGAGCCTGATGCTGGGAAAGATGGAGGGCAAGAGAAGAAGGGGACGACAGAGAATGAGGTGGCTGGATGGAGTCACTGAAGCAGCAGGCGTGAGCTTCAATGGACTCCAGAAGATGGTAGAGGACAGGAAGGCCTGGAGGAACGTTGTCCATGGGGTCGCGATGGGTCGGACACGACTTCGCAACTAACAACAAAAGAGGTTTCTAGAACCACATTAGCATTCTGATACTTCAACGTGCTGAAGCTTTTCCTGCAATCGCCATCTTCAACCAGCCATGTAACAAAGAGTTGTTTCTTTCCTCAGGAATGGAAATGGGGGGTGGGGGTGGTGTGAGATTCCTCTTTTGAGTCAACAGGCTGTTTCTTTGCCACTGACAGCGCTTAAAAAAAAAAGCTACACTCCCAGACGGATCATCGACCGAGCAGGAGATAAAAACGTTATGGTGGGGTGGGAATGCTTAAACAGAAGAAGAGTCAAATGCCCACAAGCCTTTTCTTCCAGGACGGACAACTCCAGTAGAACAGGAGACAATATGCTGCTCGCCACACATTCATTGCCTGGGAGTTTTCATGGCATTTCAAAGCTCACTGCAGAGGTGCCGCTGTGAATACTGATGACAGCAGCAAGTCTATCTCAGACATTTAAGTTGCAAGTCAGAGATCTGAAGCTGCTACCTTGAGCCAAAGCAGAATCTAAGGGTGGAGAGAAACCAGAACTTTTTTTTCCCTTCCACCCCCTTTTACTTTTTTTTTTTTTTTAAAAAAGGCATACATTTTGTACGCCTCCAGCCCATCCAAGGGGAAGGAAGGGGAGTGCAAAAAAAAAAAAAAAAGGCAGCATTCAAAATCTACAACCCAGCCAGCTTGTTGCTTCACAAGCCCAAATGGGGGCTGGGGGGTGGGGGGAGGGAAGGTCTGGCAAGGCCAAAAAATAGAAGTCTTCTACTGTTGTGCCCTTTGGGGGCCACACAGCACACAGATGCTGGACAAAAGGCTCCACTGTCTGCAGGACGTTTTCTGCGCCACACATTTTAATGAGCGTTAACAATGACTCCTAGAGAGAGCGACTACTACAGGAATTTTAACAGTTGCTTTTAACTTTGGGGGAAATTCTCTCTAATTCTGTTGGCCACACTGAGGAATCCCTTAAGTAGAAAGGGGAAGGGGGGGATCTCCATCAAAGAAAGATTTTTTTAAAAAAATCAGAAGCCACTGAAGTTCCTTCGCAATTTCGTTTCCGCTGATGTTTTTAACTTTGCTGCCTGCTCGAATTGTTTTATTTGTTGGGTGTTTTTTTTTTTTAATTATTTTCAAGAGGAATGCTAGTGGAATGACTTTATATCATGCTTTGGTATCATGCTTTTCCACTTTTTTTCTGATGGGGTGTCATTGTTGTTACTGTTACATATCAATGACAACGTTGAAATCACAGCTGCCGCTTCATCAGCTGGTTTTTGTTCGTATTGAATTTTTCCGAATTTTTTTTATTATTGTTATGCTGCCTGGACAAGTTTTCTTAAAATTGCCAAGGTTGGGAAACCCTGTTCTTTTATATATATATATATATTATTAATTTTTATAGGATTAGGAATAGGGTTAGGGTCAGGGTTAGGATTTTTTAAAATAACATTCTTAATATTTAGCAAACAGCATGTTGTCTGGGTTCATGTAATTAAAAAAAAACAATGAATAATAATTATCATAAACAATATGTTAATGAACTGCTCAATAGTCTTATTAATATATATTCAATGTTACATATCACATTCCTTTCTCTCTAACTGGTTTTTCTAGCCATTGATAAAAATTGTCCCATGTTCTAAAATACACTGAGTCTTCTTTCTCTTTTATCTTTAATGTCAATCTGTCCATTTCTGCACAACTAATTTTCTTAATTAGTTCTTCTTCTGTTGGTTAGGTTTTCATTTTTCCAATATCGGGCAAATACAATTCTTGCTGCCATTAGTACGTTGTAAAATTAAATACATACAGTCTTTCTCACAGTTTCCTCCTATTATTCCTAACAAAAATAATTCTGGCTTCAAATCTATTTGTTTTTTTTCGTCATTGTCTCCAACCGTCCGTGTATTTTTGAACCAAAATCTTTTCGCTTTAGGGCAGGTCCACCAGATATGGAGACCCTGTTCTAAAGGGAGATATATTTGTGTTGCGCTCTAACAGATGTGGTTCTGGGCTAAACCAAGACAGGTTTCTTTGGGCATTTGACACTCCAGCCGCCGTACCTTCAGACGTTCAATGGCTTCCTCTCCTCCGGGCGTGGACATGATCCGTTCTTGGATGCTGGAGACGGCAGTTAAGCCCACCTGACTACTGAGAGAGCAGGAAGATGGAGATGCAGTGAGCGAGCCCATGGATGCTGTGGAAAAATGGCCAGGACGTTGATTCTCGGAGGCTAACAAGTATCTGTGCTTATTGTTCTGAAAATCTTTCAGATCTGAGAGGAGAAGAGAGAGAGAGACAGACAGACAGAAAGACAGACAGACAAGCAGAAGGGGAGAGGCAAGGCAAAGGAAGGAGGAGCAGAAGAAAAGGGGGAGAAGAGAGGGAGGAGACAACAGTATAAGAGGAAAAGGCACACCAAAAAAAAGCAAACCGACCAAAGAGATTTAATTCGTACCAGGATGGCAGTTTTGAAGTTTTGAAACATGCTTCCCCCCCCCCCAATCGACCTTGCTGCAAATTTGTCAAGAAGGCCAAATAACCAGATCATCTACACGTGAATTAGCTACTTCATTGCTCGAGCCCATTTCACAGGATTTCTTCTCGGGCAGATCGTTTGCACCCGAGGCAGGCTAGAGAAGGTTCAATAGCATTCAAGGAAAGGTTGGGCCTTGCTCTCTTACGCCTATGTAAGGATTCCAGGCTGATTCCCAACTTGACTCCTCCCCCTGGCGCAACTAGCTCCTTCCCTGGAGTAGCCCTGCCTTCCTCAAGGGTCCAGCCTTTTAGGTATCCTGTTCTTTTATCTGGGTCTGGTTCAGGTACGGAGTTCGAGCTTTGCTATCACCTGTTAACTGACCCTTTCAAACGTTAATACCAGGGATGGAATCAATTAGAGGCGGAGAATCTGCTGGGCATAAAAAAATGGCAGTCGCAATGCTTGGTTCCTTACACACGTTGCAAGTGCAACACAATATAACGAGGGATCGCTTTAAACCCACACCATTGCGAGCACCGTCTTGATTTTTTTTTCTCCCCATATCTGGCAGATACCCTTGACCAGGGGTAGGCAACCTTGGCTCTTTTACGACTCGCGGACTTCAACTCCCAGAATTCCTGAGCCAGCATGAATCAGAAAAGAGCCAAGGTTGCCCACCCCTGCTCTTGACCCTTTAGTAGGGAAAGAAAGACTCCTGAAATGAATGATTGGATTAACTGCCACTCTCTTGGATAAGATGGGATGAGAGCCCAGCGTTCAACACTGGCCTTTATCTCCTTCCAATAGGCCATGGTGCAGGTTTTGGAAAAAAAACCCATTTTTAAAAGGAGGGGAAGAATGTAGTTGTGAAATTAGCTGACCCTAGAAAGAAATGACCATCAGAGCTAGGCCTGAATGGTCTGGTATATCCCGGATGATTGCCAGATTGTACGTAATGATGATTCTGTTCTAACAAGCGTATGTATTTTCTCCCAAACCCTCCAAAAGCATCCCATACTGCCTCCAGAAACTGTCACATTTCACGGAACTGCAGCCCTTGAGGGTACCCAACCTATACATGTTCTGTGCCCAGTAGTTATGTTTCAAGTGGGTTTAAAAACTGCCACCTGCAAATTCAGAAAAGAGCCAGGGCCGAGGGTAGAGCGCCAGAGAGCACGCCAGAGAGCAAAATCGCACACCCTGGAGAAACTCATGCATCCACAGGAGAGCCGGGAAGGCTTATTACAAATGCCAAAGCTGCTACACAATCCTCACAGAGCACCACAAGGCAGCTGGGCCATGCATATCCCCCTCTCCAAAAGCTGCGTCTGCAGGTACTACTAAAAAGTCAAAGAGTTAAAAGCTGTGGAGCTGAAAGCGGCATTAAAAAAAAAGGGAGGGGGGGCAGAAAGACTGGAAAATTTAAAAGCAAAACGAAAAAAGCCGAGGGCAGAAAGGAGACTAGATCAATTACACTTCCAATTGTCTGCACTCAAGGAGATGGCCAACAGATCTCTTCTGTCTTTCTTGCTTTAAATAGCAGGGCGGGCTGAGGCCTTGAAAAAAGCACTCAGCAGTTTCCCAACCTTTTTTTTTTATTATTATTTTTAATCTCCACAGAGGAAAAGAGATGTCTGCAGGAAAATGCTCAGCCACCTCTCTAGCAATCCATTCAATAAAGGCTTTGTGTGTGTGGAGCCTATGATTTTTTTCAGCCTGCCCACCTTTCTATCAGCAAGATGGGTAATAGCTAAATTGAGCCCTGGGTGGAGAACGTCTAATAAAAAAAAAAAGAAAAAGGCATTATCCAGTAGGCAGCTGCCCTGATATCAACATTCAAAGAAATAACAGAAAATATACTGTATTTTTCAGCTATTTCAGATAAGCACTGGTGGCGCACTGCAGTATTGCAGGCTAAACTCTGCCCACTGCCAAGAATTCGATCCTGACCGGCTCAAGCCTTCCATCCTTCTGAGGTTGGTAAAATGAGGACCCGGATGGTCGGGGGCCATAGGCTGACATTGTAAACTGCTCAGAGTGTGCTGTAAAACACTGTGCAGCTGTGTATAAATATATATGTGTGTGTGTGTGTGTTAAATCTGGATTGCTAACAAAGAGTTAAAGGGAGACTGGTATAGCTATTTCGAGCTACTTAGCTCTCATCAGCCAGCCACACCTTTCTGAGATTCGAATCTGGCCTGCCTGGGCTGCTTGCACATTAGGCAGTTGTGTTGACCTCTAGGCCACAGGCTCTTTCTCACTTTGTCAGCTGTGTCAGGGAGGGAAGAGGCCATATTTGGGCTGACTGGGTGCATCGTAAAAAACACTTAAGACATATATATATGTATATG